TAATAAAGCGCACTTGCCAAGCATCAGTTGGACCGCAGCTGCTGAGTATACGGTTGAAAATTGAAAAAGATGAAGTAGATGTACCCTAACCTAAGAAATTTCGCATAATGTATGTAAGAGGTAGACATAGTATAAATATGTATTACGGAACGCCCTGATACTACTCCGTATATACTCTATATACTACGTCTAATTTCGGGTAACTTCTTACGATATGCTCTCAGAGTCAGAAATTGCAACTAGAAATTATATAGCATACTTTTCAGAGCAACGTATAAAAAGTTGTGTTTCTTAAGTACTTTTGAATAGTTTGTAGATGGGGTTCGTACAGTAGTTGGAATATGAAATCTGTTCAATTAAATAATGATGCTTTGATTTTATATACAAGCATTTTACAACCTCTGCTACTTACTCTACTCTTAACTAAGTTTCAGAAGAAAATATGGTATACGGGAACAAAGATGTTCAAATATATATACACATACATCACAGAAATATTATGCAGTAAATATCAAAAGTAAATTTAAAAATATTTGTTATCTAAAGAACATTTGCCCGCATTTAAAAGTAGTTTTTGGCATAGATAGAGTACTTTTAAAGTAGGCTTAAGTCGTTTAGCCTGCATGGCCAAAGCTTGTTTTTGTTCATATTGCTATTACTGCTCTTGTTGTTGTTGTTTATGTAGTTGTTATTGATGTTGTTGTTTTTGTTGTTGTTGTTACTGTGCTTGGGTCTAACAAAGTTTCTGGACTTGAAACGCACACAGGAAATGGCCAGGCTATAGATAAATAAAAGTTGACAGCAATTTATTGTCACACTTAACGCAAGTTGGACTCTGTGCAGAGAGTCGAAGCGGGGCGAGGCGGGACGGGGCAAATGCCGGCTATTGTTATGTAAATGTGATGCGTAAGTTGCTAACGCGAGCCAAACAACTTTTTGGGCACAATGCGTATACGCAACGTTGCAATTGCCGCTCAATTTGCATTGACGTCACGTGGCAAGCGAAACGGCCGAATGCAAGCGTGTTGATTTGGTGACCAGGTGTAAAGTGGCAGGTGGCATGTAGCTGGTGGCATTGCTGTCATTGTTAGCCCGGCCGATAAAGAGTCCCGACAAGGACACGACGCGGCCTGCAGGAAGGGGCGTCATTTTCCATGCTTTGTTTCGCAGTGCATTGCGTTTGCATTATTGAACCACTTGGCGTCTCGCAGCGCATTGTTTTTCAATCGTTTTACTGTGGAGTCCATGCAATATTTATAAGCTGATTGCTACCAGCCATAATCAACAACAACAACAACAACGGCAACACGCACAATTACAATCTTGCAATGGCGTCAGCAATCAGAGCTGTAAGCGAGACAGCTATACAAATCATGCATAGAGAGAGAAAGAGAGCGAGAGAGCGTGACAGGGAGCAGGGAGAGAACAACGCGTTTCCCCTTGGCTCACAATGTGTGACAATCAATGACAGTTCTGTCGCTTGGCATCCTGTCACACTGCCCCGCCCCGACCCTCTGCTGCTGGATCTCCCATTTTCCCCTCAGGGCCATCGCTGCGCTGCGGCATCATTTGTTGCTTTTGACGGTTGCGTGCATTTAGAAAATTGGTATGGGAAAACTATTTTTCAACAGGTATATTCAAAAGAAGCCTCACTTTCCCTACAAACTCTCTTACTTACCCTCACCTACCGCTGACCACTCGCTTTTCAGCTGGACAAACTACTCGAAACTTTTTGCTTTTGTTTGCCAATTGTTGAGTATTTTGTGTATTTATTTTCATTTTTTAGGCAACAGCAGCAGCAATCAATGGAAGAGTTTTAAAGCTGGAATTGAAATTGAAATTCCAAGGCGCAAAAGGGCAAAGTTTTTTCTTTTTGTTCGGTCGCTTTATCGGTTTTGTATTGAAGTAAGCCAAATAGGGAGGTTGAACAATAAATTTTGCAGCGCATACTTCAAATGTCAAATGCGGCAGCGATAAAAATTTCCTTATTGTGCCAAAAACACACAAACACACACACACACACACACACACACGCACAATCACACTCAGCTTGTGGCAGAAGCAGCAGCAGCAGCAACAAATACAACTATTGCCTTTTGGACTCTCGACGCTTTTCATTGCATTCCCTTTTATTTTGTGCTGTTGGCTTTGACAGTTTTTGCAATTTATATTTATTTCGCCAGCTGCATACCCACACATACAAACACACATGCACACACACACACACACACTGACCACTGGTCTCGTGCATAAATTAAGATAATCGCGCGCGCCTGCTGCTTAGCATGTTCGCCCGTGTGGGCCAAGTTACTGGGTCTGTGGCATGTTGCCCTATTAACTGTCGGCTGCCAGGCGCATAATTTATGGCCGTATCAAGTCGTCTGACAGGCAACCAGAGTCAGCTCCATGTTGTTACTCCTTATGGCTTTAATTTGATGGCATTCAATTGTCGCGTTGTCGTTAATTGAAAACTTGCGCTTGTCAACAACAGCATGGATTGTGCCACGGAACGCCATCGTTAATGTTGTTGGCAATCAGCCCAAATAGCCAGCGAGATGGCCACAGCTCATCAGTGGCAGCCAGCTGGCCATATTTTGAGTGGCTTGTCAATGGGTTGAAGTTAACAGCTAATGAATTGCTTAAAACGTGGCCTCCGCCGCCGCCGCCGACTGAGCTAATCGCCAAGCCACAGTCAGAGTGTTCAAGTTTTAGCTGCCTGTTAAGTTTAAGCCCATTTAAGGCAGTCAGCAAAAAGCAGTATGCGGTTGACCAAAATCCTGATGGTTATTAAGCCAACTGCTGACCACTAAGACGGCTCACAAACCATGTAAATTATTTGCATAAGTACTCGAGGCTGACCGGGTCACGAATTGCTTTACGTTCAGTTCATTGTGGGTCTGCGGCACGTGCTGCTCATATTTAAGCGCGCACACACACACACACACACATACAAGCACATTGCGATCATTGCCTGGCCATTAGCTAGCTGTGTAGGGCAGTCTGTCGGCCATTGGGGTCTCCTTATTATTTTAATGGCCATTTTACTGTGTCGATTTCGAGTTGTGTCATCTCTTGCCCAACTGCTGCCTTGTCGCTGTCCATAGACAGGCCATGATTTTAATACCAGTTTAATACAATTTTTATGCCACGCTTTAGCCAAATAAATACGTGCCCAAATGCCGTCCAAATGTCGTTATTTCGTCTCAATGATTTGACATATTCCCGATGCAGCAGCTCCAAATGTCGCCGTCTCATTGCCAAATATTAACCCAAAAGAATCGATCAAATATGCTTTGTATTCGACAACGATAAGCTAAGTTCTAAGTAAGCAAACGGAGGAAAATACACTCAGGGCGAGTAAGAGAGGGAGAGCCATCGATATGAAATTAATATGTGATTACAAATACTGATAGTTAAGAAGGCAAAGAGAAAGATAACAGGAGTGAGAGAAATAAAGAGAGAGAGAGAGAGAATAAGAGGACGAGGAAGAGATATAGATATGGGGAGAGAGAGAAAGTGAGGGAGTAAGAGAGAAGGGAAATAACATATTAAGGTAGACTTTGAAATTGGTTTTTAGAACTTCTCCCTTGAATAATGCTCCCAATAAAGTAGAAAGATAAACGTATTATAACTATAATATAGAGTATATATAAAGCTTATTAATAGTATTCAACTAAATTTTGAAATGTTTTTTTTATGATAACTTTACGTTCCAACATGAAATTCTGTGTTTCTGAAATTGATTGCGAAAAGCTTTTATGATAACAAATGACGCAAAAAATTTCTCAGTATCTGGATTCGTAGGGAAAGAGATAAGATAACAACCTTATAGAAATGTTGATAATCCAGAATTTTGTTTATTGTCTCCAAAAATATTAACAACGCTTTAAAGTTTTAGACCTTCCTTAACCTTAAACATAGCCAAACAAGTTTTTGATTTAATTGAACAGAACTAATAATTTAATATGTTTCGGTAATTGACTTAAGGTTTAATAAAAAAAATTAAGACAATCAAATTTAAAAGGAAAGTATTAGCTTAAAGTATTGTAGTAAAAAGCTTTGGTGAGCCCAAGAACTTGGCATTGCCCGTCAATAGGTGGCGCCAGTAAACTTGCAGCTCTGCAGCTGGGGCTTCTGTTTTTATGCGCGCTCATTTCACAGGGGTCATTTTGATATTTTCAACTTTTTAGCACTTCCGGGAATAATTGTCTTGATTATTATATTTTTCTTTAGCTGTTTTTCTTACAACTTGTCGCCTTTTTTGTTGTGTATTAGAAAAGTTATTCAGTTGCCAAATGAGCGCATTTAAGAAAAGAAATGCTGCTGCGCACAAATTAAATTTGAACTCGAGTAATTTATGCAAGTGCGCTTGTCACATTTGTACGAAATTTAATTTAATAACATAAATTCAGCATTGGCTGCCGCTTGGTCTCTGGCATTGGCTTTGCCAAAAATGCAAATTGGAATAGCAGCAAATTGGGCAAACTTTGCGGCAACTTTTGAGCGCCAAGTGGCGGGCGGCACATGGAAACAGACAGTTTTTAATTAAAATTAACACATAAGCGAAATGCGTTACGTTGCGTTTCTGACGAAGCTGCCACCAGTGCGGCACAATTGTCGCCTGCCCCTGTCCCGCTGCCAGCGTTGGCCAAAAGTTGCCTAATTATTGTACATACATCTGTTTGGCCATGTATTGGTGCACTCCAATCAATTGCTTTGAATGTAGTTTGCAACTCTGCGTTCGAGCTTTCGACATTTTGTGGCAGTCGAGTTCATTTTGTGGAGTTTCCTGTTCCTTTGCCTAGCATTTGGCACTTATAAGGCACAAATTTCAAAATTAGTTTGCGCCGTCAAACTTTTGCGCTGCTTTTGTTTATTGCTGCACATGTGTGTGTGTGTGTGTGTGTGTGTGTGTGTGTGTGTGTGTGTGTGTGTGTGTGTGTGTGTGTGTGTGTGTGTGTGTGTGTGTGTGTGTTTTGTAACTTGGTTTCTTTGCCACGCTCTTTTAAGGCAGCTTTATTTTAATAACTAATGACAATTTGAATACATTCAATAATATACGTGAGCTAAATAAAAGCTGCTGCGTAGTTACCTAAACATTTATTTCTCAGACTTAAATAAAATTATTTGCCGTTTTTTTTGTCTCAAATACCGGCGTCTGAATGGTCTGAAGGATTTCCGTGTCCGTTTCTGCGGCTCCTATAGTCATTTCCACATAACGATTGTACATGATGTTCAGCAAAGCAGCTACAAAAACTGAAATAAAAGATGCAAACATAAGCCAAAAATCACGAAGAGCAGAGCACAGTCGCTGTTTAATGCTCACCTGCAAGGGACCAAGCTAATGCCGCCCCGAGAATAGAATTACGATCCGTGAGCTCCCTCAAGCCAGCATAGAGCGTAGCGACTAGGCTGACCGAGGTGACAACCAGCCAGCAGAGCAGAAACTTATTTTTATGCTGTTTATGTGCACGCAATACTCCAAAGATCTGCACCAAAGTCGCCGAGAACTGCAGTAGACGTATTTGTTCCAGTTTCAAATTCCCTAGCCAGTGAAAATAAAAATTCTGCATGAAAAGGTGTCGACTCACAGCCCATTTCGACCTTACAGCCATGGGGCAGAACATTTGTAGCCATTGTCAGTCCGAAAACCGAAAGCCCGATGGCTATTTCCAAGTATCGCTTGATATACAACATTTCGACGCATCGATTGAAAGCTAACTGAACTAAACGATGAGCGTTAACCAATGTATACAGCTGATTATGAATTGTATCAGTATATATTTATCTTTATTGAACTGTTCTATAAATGTCTCTCTCTTCCCCTTTCTCTGACTCCCTCTCTCTCCTTCTATATCTCTCTCTTTGAAACGATCTTTTCACAACATTTTATTGCAGTTTTTGATTAATATGAAATATTCCGTCTCAATTAATATTATAAGTGAATGCATTAATTCTGTATTGAGACAGTTAAATTTCCAGTACTTTCATATGTGGGTGGTGGCTCCTTGGTTTCTACGACTGCATTGCGCTCACTTGCCGCAACAGCTGTTGATTCTGAGTTGGCTGTCCGCAGCCTCGCATACTCTTCGTACACGTAGTAAATCAGGTAGCCCAGAAACGCTGGAATTAATGTACATTAGTCATTAAAGCGATAATTTTATACAAAAGACTTTGAACGTAACAGACTAGGATTGCTGCTGATTAATTTCTAACCTGTGGCGGCCAATAAAAGTAGCAAAACTAGTAACGCCAAAAGAAACTCCCCAAAGTCGTAAAATGAATAAAGGAAATCGTCAGTTATAAAATTCATACAGTAATAGCACATTACACCAAAGAAGATGGCTGTAATGATCAGCCAGAAGACCAGAAATTTGTCCTTATGCAGCGGTTCCTTTTTAAGAACTCCAAAGAGCAGCGAAATAGTTGCCAGTACCTGCAGCGCGCGAAAAATGGCCAGAAACTCTTGGCCTATACAAATCAAATATTAGCCAAATTCCAAATTGGAGTTACAAGTTCACTTACAATAATAATCCATGGCAAATGTGCCCAGGGACATTCCCATGACAATCGGGCCAATTGCAATTAGTATATGCTGCTTGCAAAACATCATTTCTTCTCAACAATTGAAGTCAAACTGAAAATCTGAACTGAAATTAGCACAACAGTTAATATAAAAAACAGGAAAATAGCGCTTATCTTGGGCACGCCGAAAATTAAATACACTAGCAGTCCGATTTGATATGTCTTTAAAGATCTGTTGGGGAAGTACAGAGGCTCGAACTTATTTTTCGATCGCGTGTTGATATAAAATCTCGACTTTGCCCAAGGACTTGAAAGCTGTACATATCTGGGTTTTCGTATCCTCTAGATAGAAGCATGAAAAACTAACCAATGACAAGTTGGGTTAAAATATCTCGGAAGAAAGAGTTTCTCATATAAGAAACCAATTTTCGAAAAATCTTTCCCATATCAGCTGTATGATATAGTGACCCGATCTAGCCAACACTTACATGCATATTGCCTACAACAGAAAGGCAAGCCTTAAAGCTATCAGAACATATACACCCTATGAGGTCGAAGATGCGTTGCATATCTCGCGACCGTTTTATAAAACCCTATGAAAGGGTATATTTTTATTATTATCAGCATGATTGTAAGAGTTGGCAGTATTTTTCTCTCCCAACATCGAATGCTCTCTTTTGCCCTCTTACTTTCAATTGCTTTTGCTATTTCGTGGCTTACAAAATTTATCAGCTGTATTTTATTTTCGATTAAGATATAGGGCACATTAAAGCTCTCGATTCTGCGATAAAAGCTAAAGGCGTCAAACACACTCTGCTGGGCTGTTGCAGAGCCGCTTTGTTTTAATTCCTCATACGCCATGTATACCCAATACATCAGATAGCCCACGAGAGCTGTAATAAATGAGGCCTTATCTTTATATTTTATATGCAGTATTAGTTATCTGTTAATTATCAGCTTCAACCGCTAACCAATTGATTATTTACCTGTTGCGGCGTGAAACAGCAACAAAACCAACAGCCAAACCAAAAACTCAATGGAAGATGCGTTGAGTGAGCTTCTCGTATCTCAAGCAAACGGATCTCAGCGAGTCAAATAATATCGATGTTGAGAACAGCCAATAGAGGAATATCTTATCCTTATACTGTGCGTCCTGCTTGAAGATGCCAAAGAGGAGCGCAACAGTTGCAATCGGCTGCAGCACCCACGAAATAGCCAAATTTATTGGCACTGTATTAATTGAAAGGCACAATTCGATTGATATCTATATACCATATCTCTATCAACTGGTAATCACCCAAATATATCAGCAATATGGGTAGCAGGTCAGCTAAAATTAGTCTTTCTCGCTTGGTCAACAACATTTTTACTCGTCGAATCGGGCCTAACTGAAAAAAGGACGATTTTTTTTATACGAATTTTATCTAGACTCATGTTTACGGTCTTTCGCTTTGTTTTGCAGTCACTCACACAGTTCGTGTATTCACAAATAAATTACTTCCAAGAATTTTTTTATGCTTCTTTGTTAGCAGAGAAAAATAAATTGATAAACAATTTTCTGATAATCAATAAACGGATCAATTCCATTATATATTACGTTGCAACGGCACGTTTAAGTTCTGGCTTTCAATATAAAATACAATATAAATTATAGAAAGAAATGAAGTGCAATTACTTTGCCATAGGTTTACTTTTATTAATTACTTTACTTCATTGCTTTATTATTTGTATGGAAAACTTGTTTGAATATTAACATATCTTAACCAAACGGCATTTATTAATCTTACTATGCTCCTCGTATATATGGAAAATTTGATCAAAATCCAACCACAATATCCCGTAGTTGCCATAGAAAAGATTGTTTGAAAATTGGTTTCTTATATGGCCAAGTATTTTGTTTTCAAATATATTTTCATCACATTACGAGCTTCACTATTCTCACATAAATGCAAAAATATAATGTCTACAAGGCTATTAAATTTTCAGCGTGCCGAGGATAAACTTAATTGCTCGTTAATAGTGCAAAATGGCTTTACGCAAGCAGTAGCAGACGCTTTTGAGTCGATGTCCGTTTGTCTGTCCATCGGTCTCTTTGTATATATTTAATTTATATTTTCTTTAGTTTTAGAAGCTTATTAAAAGCTACACACTGCAGCTGTCCATTGCCATGTTAAGTTTATTAATATTTTATCAAATAGTTTGTTGCTTCTCTTTGACTTTTGCAGGATAGACTTACTCTATGCTCATTTTGCCTGGGGTATATTAACTTTTTAGCAACCCATTTGACCGCAAAGTCAAAAGTTGCATTCATAAGAAATCCAATTGGTCACACTTTGGCTTTTTTGTGGGTGCCAAAGCTATGAAAAGTTCATAATGCAAAATGAATGCATAACTAAATCAGAGACACACATACATACATATATATACACACACGCACACACACAGTGGCAGAGAGGAGCACATTGTGCATTCATGTTCATTTGATAGCTAAACTTTTGCTATTTGTGCATAGAAAACTTTGGGCTTTTTTGGTTGTTTTTAGTGGCAATTATTTTTACATTTAGCGAGTTAAGTTCTTAAATTGGCTGCCAGCTAACATGCATAAACAGGTGCAGGATGGGGCAGGAGGCGCGTATCCTGCGTAGCGACAGTTCTCAAGTTCTCAAGCAGGCAAAAGGCGAAAGTTGTGCGCAACTTTTCAACGAATCGAGTTTTTAATTAAAATTTGTTTTGCCCTTACACACATACATACAAACACACACACACAGACAGACACAGCTGAGTGCACTGGTGTATGTGTGTGTGTGTGTGTGTGTGTGTGTGTGTCTAGCATAAGTCATGATACGCATTTTGGCAGCGGCTGTGACGTCACCGGCCTGTCCTAATTTATGAATATTTGTAATTAACATGCCTGCGAAAATCATAATAAATTTCATCTAATTGCATTTTTATGGTGCCAAAGTTTTTGTTTAGCGGATGTGCCTCCTCCTACTGAAGGGAAGGGAGACGCGCTGCCAGACTGTTTGTAGGGGGCGCAGCTCATTAAATCATTGCGGCGGGCGTGTCTAATGGTATGCATTACATACCAAGCCCGCAAATGTTCCGATACCCTAGAAAATATCAAAGGCAGCACACACAGAAGGCGGCACATTTATTTATGCATATTCTAAAGGGTATTACATAGTCAGTGATTATTTTGATTTATTATTATGCTGCTTGCCCTTCAGGTGTACCTCGATTGTATATTAATTTGCTAGTTTATTAGGCGTGAATGTTAAAAATGAAGCAAAAGTTTTGCCATTAGCGAAAATCTTTTCACAATTTCCGGTTGGTCATGAATCAAAAGTGCGCGAGAAACTTGGCCAAAAGGAAAGTGAAGCAAGTCGCGTAAGAGCTGCGGCACAGAGCCAGGGCTATCTGTCTGACAAATGAGCTGGTGCAGCAGAAACGGCAAAAAAGAAATGGAAAATTGTGAAAAGTGTGAAAGTTAAGCAAGTGTACGTATGTGTGTGGCAAAGAGTACTCGGCTAATATATATATATATATATATATATAATATATCAACTGCCATTCAAATATGTGAGCGAAAGGCCCATGAAAATGCTGTTCATTTATTTCATTTAAATGCGCATTTAAATCTATTTAAAAGTCCACATGAGCCGGGCACAAAGCCGTAGAGACAGCAAAAGTACGGGAACAGTCCTAGAAAATAAAGGGCAAATAAAAGGCAAGGCACAAGCTGAGTTTTGTTCAGTTTGCTTGGGTTCAGCGCAGTTCAGTTCAGTTTAGTTCGGTTCGGTTTGGTTCGGTTCAAAGGGTGGCAGGAGTTCAGCTCTCAGCATGATTTAACGATAATGAAGGTATTTACGAGTTTAGCCTTAGAGTCTGGCAAAAGCAAAACTCATCATAATGCCGGCAGCAGCAAAAGGTTACACATAGTACACCACACACCTATACAGACACACGAACGCACGCACACTCGCACACACGCACACACGCACTGCGCACCTGAAGCTGGCATAGAGTTGTTTTTTGTCCGTACGCATGTCCTGGCACTTGTAAGAAGATGTTTTGCAAAACTTTTTTGTTGTCGCCGTTGATAAGGACAATGACAATGACAACTACTCGAAACGACAGCACCCCAAACCCTTCCTCCCTCAAGCCACACCTTCCTCCTCCAAATCCCTTTAGGTAAAAGTTGTACACCTTTCCATAATCTACTTGGGCCGTAACACGTAATCCGGAAAAGAGAATGTCAACGCACACTGTGCGCTAATAAAATTTAATTTGCTATAAAATATCTCTACACACACACGCACACACACACATACACACATACACACACATACACTTGGATCTTCTGTATGCCATAAAGCGGCGTAAACATAATTACACCGACTGAAATGAAAATGGAAATTTTATTTTCCAATTTATGACGCCTGCGAAAAGTGAAACAATTTTCGTTGCGCCGCCATTTTTGTTTTTTTTTTTAGTGCCCTTTAATATTTAGCAGCCGCATTGAATTCAAATTAGCCAAAAGCCAAGAAAATATCAATAAATCTAAGCCATAAAAAGGAATTTATGCAAAATGCAAGCAAACAACTAGGGCAAAGACTACGAAATACCCTTTAATAATGTCTTTAAGCACTTTTTAGGAATCATTTCTAAACTTCTTAACTAATTTCGTTACTGATTGTAAGAAATATTGACTCGCAGTTATTTTGAAGTTTGACACAAAATTAAACTTCATGTTTAACATGAAGTTAAGGTTCATCTTGCCTGTTAAACATTAGCTTTAATATTAAATCTTGACTTGAAGTTAAAGTTTACTATAGCTCTTAGCCTTGAGATTTGACATGAAATTAAAGTTGACTTTAGTTAGGTCTTGAAGTGTGACATAAACTACAACTTCACTTAAACCTTTATTTGGACATGAGTTTAAAATGCACCTTAGCTCATTAAAATGAATCTTAAATTTTGGCTTGAAGAAGAGTTGCTTTTTACCTTATGTCTTTCAGCTCTACAGCTGAAACCTTGAATTTTAACATGAAGTTAAAGTTCTTTTCGGCTCTTTAGCGCTAATCTCAAATCTCAATCTAGAGTATAGCTGCGGTGGCTTCTGGTGGTTGCAGTGGTTGCCACTAGTTAACGAGAACAAAGGCGATTCGAACTTAACCTGCTTGTCAGCTTAACAAAATCGCATTACATGGCGGTCGAACGCTGGCTGCGCTCAGTGGGTTCGTGCACCGTGTTGCACGTGCCACACGCATTACAAGCGCTGACAATAGACGATGGCGAATTTGTCAACAATTTGCGTTGGCAAACTTCTCAAATTATGCTCGACCACCTCGCTGGCTGTGCGGCACTTGTGGGCGCAGTTAATTGCAAATGCGTCCCTCGCGCTTCCCCGTTTGAATTGTTCAACGATGTGCGGCTGCCGCAACGTGTCCTTGGTCAAGACAATAGCCTGGAATGGGTTGTTTGTCTTGCTTTTGTTGTTGTTGCTGTTGTTGTTGGGCTGTTGGCAGGCAGCCAAAACAGCTTTTGGTGCCACAAATACATTTTCAGCTGATTGCAGTTGCTTTGTGCGATGCATTAAACGTAATAATTGCTAAAGACAATGCTCTGCCGGCCATGCAACGATCTGTGGCAACGACACGCTGCACACTCGCATACGCGTCGTATACGCAATGTCTCCCCATGTGGCTGCGACTGCGGCTGCGTCTGTGGCTGCGGCTTTGGCTTTGGCTTTATAACGCTTGCCTTTGGCACATTTTCAATTATAATTATTAACAGCTTGCTTTTAGCATTTGCTATTGGAGTGAAGCTGTGCTTGAGCTGGGGGGTTATCTTTCGCTGGGCGTGGCTCTTGGCTCACCTGCGCAATTTCCTGGCTGTGCATTGTCCTTGCGCGTTTGCCTGTCGCTGCCTCGTCTTAGTTGTTGCTGTAGTTTTCAGTTGTAGTTGTTTTAAGTGGTTTTTTCTGCCCGAGTCCGGGCACTTGTAGTTTCTTTTCTCTATTTTTTTTTTTAGTTTTTTTTTTTTTTTTGTTTTAGTTTTAGTTGGTTTTTTTTTTGCCTGCTTTCCGCTCTGCCATTTTGCCCAAAGGCAACTTTTAACATTTAATGATGCTGCTTTGTATTTTAATACGCTTTGCTTGCTTGGCAGCTACCCTGCCCTGCCCTGTCAGCTCCCAATCCAGCACGTGCCATAAGCAGCGCTTTGTAAAAACTTTTAAGTAGACATGCAACGTGGCCAACATTGGCAGCAGCAGCAGGCAACAAATCCGCCCACCCACCCACATCCTCAACCATCCGACCAGCCAACCTCGGATTTTGTTGTTGCCTTTTGCGCTTTAAGTTGTCTACTCAGTTCCAATTTTTTGCGCTGCCTGCTCAGCCTGCCAAGGTGTTTGCAGCAATTTGTGTCACCCGGCTCGGATTCGGTTGCTCCTCGCCTCACCCGCTGCTTGTCCTGCCAGACGTGTCCTTGACAAAGCGGCCGCCGCCGCTATTGCTGCCACAGCGTGCGGTGCACAGATTGTGCCAATTTAACCTGTTGCTAGCGCCAGTTTTGGCCCGCTTGCGTTTATCTGACTTGGCTTCAGTTCAATTCAGTTTGCGCACTTTCAGCCGAGTCAAAAAGTTAAGTTTTTATGCATATCTAGAGGCTATCAAAACCTAAACGTCGCCGAGACCACAAAGTATAAGGTACATAGTTCTTCTGCTACGGCAACACTTCAATACAATTATCGCTCGAAGGTTTAATGTTGCATCAAAAAAAGATTTCAACTTTAAATGGTCGAAAGTAAAGAAAATTTATATATACTATACATATATATACAACCAAGTTAAATGCCTTGAAGAGCATTGAAACCTCTGCGCTCCGCAGTTAAGCCCACGCTCTTGTGTTTTTTTTTTTCGGCTTTGTTTTATTCATATTGCCCAGGGCTAAGTCGAAGTTTGAATCAAAGTCGAAAATGAATTGCATTCGCGTCATGTGCGCGGCACAGTTTTTAATGCAATTCCAATTTAAGTTCGTTACAGTTTCTATGCCACTCGCAACTGAAGCAAATCGCATTCGCAATGCCAAACTTTTCGCCACTTGCCAAAATCACAAAGTAATTGCAGTTCGTTGAATTTGTGAACAATTTACAAATAAAGTTGCCCAAAGTTGGATTGCAGCGAACGGCAGGCAGGTGAATTGCCGCCGGCTGGAAACACACCCACAGAATGGCAAACTTATCAGCGCCTTTTGCACATTGTTCACAATTTGAAGAGACACATGCCCCAAAACTGATTGGCACTTGGGTCAATCTGGGCGAGACAAGCGCTCTCTGTTAGTTCATCTTTTACTACTGCTTTTATGCTGCACAAGGCAAATGCAAATGACGCACATGCTTCCAGTCATTACAAATTAATTTCACACGTGACTAAGTCGACGTGGCAGCAGCACCAGAAGCAGCAGCAGCAGCAGCGGGTAGCTCTAGTGGAACTGACTGCCAGGACTGGCATCAGCATCACATCAGGCCGGGCACAAGGCAACGGGCAGCCGGCTGACATAATGTCACTCATATGACATTCAATTAGGAAAAGTTGTTGCATCTTGATGAGCAAATGTGCCATATAATGTGCAGCTGCAGTGCGACGACTTGGAGACTAGCCCGCCGACAACAGTCCCGTACCAATGCATGCTGATCCTGTGGAGAGCGTCATCAATGATGTCGATGCGGCAGCTCAAACTGGGCACAAGAGTGCAACAGCCTGAGTGTTTGTGTGTTGGTGTGTGTCTGTGTAAAAGGTCAGAGTTTAATATCAAATAATAATATTAAGCAAGCAAAAAGGTATGAGAGAGAGGAGGAGGAGAGAGACAAAGAGAGGGAGATAAATAGAGATGGAGATAGAAGAAGAAAAGAGGGCGATGAGGGAACCATCTCCCATTGCTCACTTTTAAAGCAAACAATTCCAATTAGGCAGAAATTAAATATAAATAAAAATACATCTGCTCGCTAACTTCGCACACTGATCTGTTGTATAAACAAGTGGCACACGTTGAAGACGGGTGCAATCGACTGCATAATACTCGTCTAGAGTGTAAAAGAATGTATTCTCTTATGTTTCCATGTGCTTGAATATTCATACATCAATGCACATTTGTTTGTGTTCTAACTGAAATTTGTATTCACGTATGCATGTATGTATAGTTTGAACTGAGGCTCGGTAGAAAAACAGGATTTTTTATGAGTATAACAACACATATAAGCATGAATACTTTGATGATAATTAACACATACGCACATAGGTGCTTACACGCCATTGGCTGAGACAAGAACTTTTCGCTAGCATACACTGTGCAAAAATAAAAGTCAAATCAATTTACATGGGCTACTTTATGAAACTAGTTCGTAAACTGTGTGAATTAATTATCTTGTTTCTACATTTGCCGAAAATCGATATCGAAATCATGTCTTTTTAACAAATATTTCAGGTTTTAGGAGGCAGTGTCATCAAGCTATATTATATACAGATAAATCATCTTCTATTTTATAGCTATTGCCATCCTTCGTTTTACCTAACTAAATTAATTTGAACAACTCACCAATTAAAGCCACAATTTTAGTGCTGTTGAGTTTTGCAGAATATATGAATATTCTTTGGCACACAAAATGCTACTGCGGAAAAGAATATCAAGATCCATTAGGAAACACAGAATTTACTTAAGAATACGTGTGTTTATATTAGCGCAAGAATTTCTGTATACATGTGCACTCATACACGAATTACAAATTGCGATTATATCGCATACCCTATTTTAGGTATGTGCTGCTATTTTAGTTTATTTTTAATGCAATGAGAACTAATTCTTGGTGTGGGTGTGAGCTATCAGGCGGTGGCCCATAGAACTGTGAGAGTTCGACTCACCGACACAGGGAACTAATATATATCTTTTCTTTAGGTTTTGCTGTTGGTTAAAGAATGTTCAGGGTATCCCATAGTCGGGTACTTCTGACTAGAGCACTTTTTATTGTTGAAGAGACTTGAAATTTGATTTAGAAATTCGGATTTTTTTCTTATCGATGCCAAATAGACTTTTAGACAAGCACAGGCGATTCTTATAACAGTTTTCCCTATTCATATATTGTTATATATATATATTGTTATATATACACAGTTAAGTGGTACGCTTATGAGCTGATGTGTGTGTGTTTTTATTTGTGTATGATTATACTCCTCTGACTTTTGACATTATTCGCGGCATGGCTTGTTTACTCTTCACTGATAATTTGTAGATCGTTCTATCTAGGTTAGTTACTCAAAACGAATATAGAATATGCTCTGAATGTACAGGGTATCTAAGTAGCGCTCACCTCTAAGCAAATAATCTTTAATTATGCCCTAGCGGTTGGCTTGTTTACGACAGCAACAGAATAATCAGAATTCAGTTGTGCCAAATTCGTTGAAGTGAAATGTGTTCCAACAGAAGAAATGCACAAATTGGCATTGGACTTTCAGTCATGGGCATGTCCCTGCTTTCGATTCCCTTTTTTATTTCCGGTAGGTGCTCTGAATTGTAGCTCGTAGATCCCTTTGGTAATATGCAGTGCATTTTATAGATCAAAGGGGTCTGCTGAAAATTGTGCTATCTGTTCAGCTGACTGCAACTGTGGCCCTGATCTATGGCGTACTGCGGGCACATGCGCAGCATAAGGCAAAGTTCTTGCTCTTCTGGCTGGGAATTTCGAGTGCATTTTTTACTGCATTGCTCTATGCGAACCTGTTTAAATTTTTGGATCATGGGTGGAACTATTTCTTCTATTACATTGACAACTATCTATGTCTGTTGCCTGCCGGTCAGTTACTACATTGTCACATTAATTAAAGCTTTTGCAAATTGAACTTTTTGTGAATTTCAGCTGGCGTTGCGTACATGATGCATATCATATATAAGGACTACGTAGAGCTGACATTGGGTGCGGTAACAGAGCTCAAACAGCCGCCGCCATATGATGGCAGCGCTGACAAAATTGACATCTCAGTAAAAACCGAATCAACAAGATGTTACTAGCTTCCAGCGTATCAACTCGAAATAAAGTGCGATTATGCGAGAATTCAGTTAATAACAGCGCCAAACATGGGCGTAGAGTATGGGTAATGATGCATAGTTGCAGCTGCCACAGATCGGACATTTTTGACTGATCCACTAATTAATGCAGCACTCTGCATAAATTGCAATGCGAGGCTCTCTGGAGAAGTCTAAGGCTGAAGAAGGCTCACAGGCTGTATTTGTGTGTGCGTGTGTATGTGTGTGTTGTATCCTTGTTGCAACTTAATTGTTGCATGCAGCTGGTGTCCAGCTACTTAGTCCACAGTCGGACACTGGCACTTGACAAATATCCTTGTGAGCTGCATTTCGGTTTTTTGCTTTTGGCTTTTGCCAATTTTTGTTGGGTTAGCTGCCTCTTGAATATGGCATATTCGTTGATTAAATCAGCAACAGTATTGTTTTTATTAAAAAAAAGTTTTCGTTCAATTTTCTGTTATGTCTTTTGCTTATTTTCATTTTCATTTGCCAAGCGAAAATGTGAAAATGGCAAAAATGTGCCAAACATGAAATATATGAGCAATAAATGACGCTCGGTGTGGGGCCACGCGTCCATCAAAGTCCTTGAGCTTTCAACCAGACCCCATCCATTGGACACCACTTGCAATAAAGCTGACCAGCATTACAGCAGCATCCCCCATCCCCCTATATCGACAGCCCCCTCAGACTCTAGACCACGCGTAGCTGAGCTGCCCGAGGCGTGGCGTTGACGTTGGAAAATTAAAATTACACAGCACAAGTTGCAGTGCGGAAAATATGCGAGCAGCAGCGGCGAGCATGGAAAAGGAAGCCGAAGGAAGTTCTAGGAAAAACAAACTTGAAAAACCGGAAACGGCGTCCATTGGCGCTGGCGGCCACAATTATTATTTTTATGCCCAACTTGAAGCCAATGCGAGGCATTGAGTCAACAAGTTCCAGCAAAACTTTCTGAGCACTGGACAAGAGAAACTCTATCTCTCTCTCTCTCTCTCTATCTGTCTCTTTCGCTATTTCTTCTAGAATGTTGATAATTTCAATTTGAAAATATTTTAGCGAATATTTCAAATTGCATTCGCTCAATTGTCAATATTGAATTTCGCAACATTATTTGCTGAAAAAGGTCATCGTGTTATCTAAATGTATGAAACACATTTCGAATGAAATCAAGCTGTTTCTCGCTAAACTTTGACGGTGATAATGATAAGAAAATATACATTTTAACAAAAACAAAATAGAATTTTGTGCTTGTCTGATAAACTATTGAGTCTGCATGGCATTCTTATTAGCGACATGTCGCCAGTTCGTCCGCCAGTCGCATATGCCCGCACAGTTACAGAGAGAGCTATACAGCTAGCAATAAAAATGAGCGCCCAGAGTGCTGAGCTATGAAATTAATATGCCAAAGAAATTTTGATTTATTTTTTTTTGCCCGCGGCCAAACGTTCCACAGTTCGGATCCCAGGCCAGTGTGCAGCATCAGAGGCATAGCCGGTCAAATATATATTTGATAGATTCTTTAACACGAACACAGGACACGCATGACTTAAAAAACAGCTGAAAGCACGACTATTTATTCAATTTTTTTTCATTTTTATTATTACATATATTGACAAATTTAAAAATATGGCAAATTTAACTAGAGATATTTGTCTAAAAATTAAAAATAAACCTTGAAAGGCAGCCAAGCACGCCTCGCCTTCAGGCACAAAAATGTTTATAAATGCGGAAGTGCATTATGCACACACTTTTGACTCATTTAAATGAGTGTACAGGGTATACAATTACCAGAAATGCCTGTCGAGTGAACTTGAAGCTGCAAAGTACCGCATACTGCGTCCAATTAGCCCACAATGGACGCCGCAGAGGCTGTGGCAGGCTTGCCATGCGTGGCGCTGAGTGAGTGCCAGCAGCAACGGCACCGTCATTGCCAACAGGTGCCACACACTCAGCAGTTGGCAGTCAACAGTCAACAGTCAGCCAGTCGGACAGTCGGACAGTTGGGCAGTCGGCAGTAACTCGTGCCCGCACTTAAAATTTAAAGCGTTTCGAGTGTAATTGCGCGGTTGCCGTTAACGAGCCGCTTGTTAAAGGCCGGCGCCAGCAACAGGCCAAGAATATAAAAAAAGCGCTGCTGCTCAAAACAGGTAAATGTGCTGCGGACCAACCAGCTGCACACCCTGTTAAAGGCGAGCAACAAACGGTGTTTAAGTCCTTTAGTTTAGCAGCTGCAGCAAGAGCTTTTTAAAGTCAGCCTAAGAGCTCACCATATTATCAGGCTTCAGTTGTGGCTTGCGGCACGTGCAGCTGCAGCTGTTGGCAGCCAGCAAAGGTAACTCGCGTCCATTAATTAACATTTCAACGGGCGAAGCATTGTGCAAAAATAATTAAAAACAAAAGCAACAAAATGGCGCTGACCAAAATGACCTTAAAGAGTGCCCGGAATGCGCCGGCCACCGCAGCCGCTGAGGCGCCTGCAGCTATGCAACACGAGTGCTGCGCGCCAGCGACTGTCAGACGGATGTGTGGCAGGCATAAAATTTGCTGCATGCAAACAAAAAATATGCCAATTCGATGAATAAAATTTAAGGCACTATTTTAAAGCATTTATGCGCAATGTGGGGCTGCTGTTTACTTGACAGCAAACAGCAACAACAGCTGCCGCTGAAGCCCATGCATGCCAAATTGGCCACACTAATTGACACCTGTGACGCCCACAAAATACGAACAGGGCGTGGCCAGGTGAGGCTGTGTAGGCTGTCCTCGCCTGGCCACATGGGTCAGCGACGCAACCCTAAACAAACAAGGCCAAAATAATGCAAATACTGCGGTTTATGCCGACTGGCTTTCGGGTTTGTCGGGTACCTCAATCAAACGGAAAGAAAAATATAAAAAAAGAAATAAACGCCTTCAAAGCGGTGTTAGAAATTAAAAATAAACAAATTTTTTATGCGCAGCAACAACAAAGAATTGGTCAAAAAGGACGAGCGGCAGCTGCTCCTTTTGCTAAAAAGGGTTTCCTTTGGCGAAGGCCTCAAGAATTTGGTTAGGTTTGATATGAAACTCTATCATATATGAAACAAAACTACTCTTTCTGTCTCTTTCTCATATTTTCTCTCGCTCTCTTTCTCTTCTGTTAGCTAACAATTGGTTTGTTTTCTATGTCATATGTGCATACAACGAGACTGTTCTCTCTGCATATCTTTCTCTGAACCTCTCTGTCGCTCTCTCTCGCTCTCTCTCGCTATCTTTCTCTCTCACGCTTCGTTGCTTTGAAACTTGCCATTTTCGTAATTAATATTTACCTCTCATTGTTTCATTTATGGTCTCTGCGAACTTTTGTGATTTCCATTTCCATTTCTATTTTTTGTTTTTCTTTTCTAATTTTTTTTTTTTTGTTATATTTTTGTTTTCCTTTTCGCAGACTTACAAATTACGCACTAATTAAGCGGCTTCTGCTGCGGCCTCGACCATTTTTCAATGTCGGTTCGTTCACTTGGCAGCGCAAGGACCTGAAGGACGCAGACACCGAGACCCGCTCAGACTGGGCATTTGGGTCAGCTCAGCCTTGGCTTATGCTGATCAGCGCAGAACTTGCAGCGCGGCACATTAGGCGACAAAAGTTAATGTGCATAATTAATTTGCTTTTGCACTTTGCCGAGGCTTCATTTTGTTTGTGGGGCGCCTTTTTTTCTTTGGGCTCGCTTTTGTTGCTGCTCGTTCGGTTCGAGCATAAATCAAGCCGAAGTGAGCTGTCAGCGGTATTCAAATAGGTACTCTGCCTCAAAATGATGATGCAGAGCAAGGGAGGGGCTGCTCTGGCAATTAAGCTACCAAAGTTGCCAAGTGGTGCACGTGAGTTACAAAAGCCGCAGCTGTTGGCAGCCAGCTTCAAATTCATCATACGCACCGTGCAACATTTTTAATTGGCTGTGAAATTAAATTTCAACCCACGCACACCTGCCAAACATCCAAGCGTGGAGTTAGACGCAGCAAGCGCTGGTAACGAGCAGGGGGCTTTGGCATTTTTAAGGCAGCAAATTCAATTGGCGGAGCATCGTGCACAATAAACAACTTCAAGTGCCAAATTTACTAACAGATAATTGAATAGCTTCTAGCAGCGACATAGACAAAAAACAAAACCCAGATAAAGACACCCCTCAAGCGGGCATAAAGAGGCTTTCGACTGGGTGGAGAAGCAAGAGCAGCTCTGCTCTGCTGGATGTCTGTGTTGTCTTCACATGCTCGGCGCTCGTATAACATGCAAATGCCAAATTCAATAAACTCAATGCCAGGCCAACAAATAGACCAAATTATTGCGAAACCTACAGACAAACAAACAAACGTGCAACATGCCCGTGCCACAACACAGCCAACTCGACTGAACCACTTAAGGCACAAAAATGCCAATGCCATTTCCATTGCCAATGCCATTTCCATTGCCAATGCCATTGCCATTGCCACTGGCTGCGGCAATACCAAGTAAATTGAACGACAAAAGTGCGTGCAATTGGCAGGCATATTGCGAGCCTAAGACTCATTTTGCCCGCCCTATGCCACTCGGCGATAGATTTTGCGGCCATCAGTTGAGCGTGCAGCGGGGACGGGTCGTATGCGTGATGTGAGCACATTCGCCCGCCAAACGGCCCAAATGGCACAGCCAGCCAAACACAACAATCCGACAGATACACACGTACATGTAACTGTATCTTTAAAAAAAGAAACGTTGCCCAACAACTTGTGGCATAAGCCGATGATGTCTTGCTTAGCCAAATGTGTTGAAATTTTGTTTCTCGACAACATTTAATGAAATTATAACATAAGCATATCATTCACAATTTCACGGTCATTTCTATTGCAGGTTCTGTTTTAGGATGTGCTGTAAGGAAACGCGATTAGCCCTGCGGGAAAACCGACTGACTTGTGATTGGAACTTAATTAACTGCCTTTAACAGCTACCAGGACTGGTTGCAGCTCTATATCAGTCCACTGGAAGAAACTGATCTTTATGTGGAGCAAAACGTAGCATCACACTGATTGGATATTACTTAAGCGCCAAGCCCAAAATTCGAAATTGGCATTCGCTTTAAGGACAAAAGTAAGCTATAAAACAGTTGATTATTTGCTTAACAGCTGAACAACAATTCCTTTATCCCAAATCCCTTCGCTTTTTGGCATGCCTCGCAGTAACAGGTGCTATCAACATGCCAACCGATATTATTGTTAGCTGCAAAATGCGAAATGCTTAAGGAATGAATACACCTTATTTGGTTATTTATAAAAGTTATATTTGATTAAATTAAAAATAGATTTCACTTTTGCATTTTCTTGCAGATTTTCTATGGTAACAACGACTTATCGATCTTGAAGCACAACATTTCTGGAAGATTGGCTTTTCTACCAAACCCAAACTGTCCGCCACATTCACAGTTTCACTAGCTGAACTCAGCCGTCAGCAACAGCTTGGCAGATGTTGACAACAAACCACAATAGCATACCTAAACGATACGGATGGGAACAGTTAAATTGATTGTAGAATATCTTAAGCAAAATGTTGGCAAATAAAGTAAGTAGTAAAGCTACAATAATATAAATTATAATAATATTACATCGGGTAGAAAAAGTACGATTTTAACAAATAGAAATATATTTAAATAAATAAATATGACTTTTTTCTGAGATCATAAAACATTGATGGCATTCTATTCTATGGACCACCGCGACTAAACCCTCCCAATATGACCTGAATCAGCTGTTCGCATAATAGCTATTCACAATAACCCAAAATAAGAATAAATGCAGGACGACATAATCTCGCCATGATCAACGGCGGAGCTATCGTGACATAGCCGCCGCTCTAAAAACGTCATACGTCCCCCGTTTGGGTATGCAATGAAATTTTTCATACCCAAAAATCCGCATTCTATGAGATGACCCAAAATGACCAAAAAATACAGTTTTCTGACGATATGACGATTCTAGTTAAAACTGGACTTCACCACGAGTCGAACGCGACCAATCTTTCCAAGATCCGACTTTATTTCGCCAAGATACGGTCATTTAAAAAAATCGAAAATAGGCCGCTATTATTTTAAAATGTTTCCTTTTTTTTGCCATAATTTGGCTAATAATTGTCCGGTTTTGGAAAGATAGGCCTTTTTGTACTCGTGCTGATCTCTGCTATCGACTGGCATATCTCGTTTATTTTTCGAAAAATGTCTTTTCCGAAATCGAAAACGTTGATGACATTCGATTCTATGGCCCTCCGCGAGTAGCCCTTCCCTTTTTGGCTGCAATCGGGCTTTATTTGGCCGAGAAATAGCCATTGAAAGTTTTCCAAAAAAAATCGTGAGGTTATGGAGTTATGTCGTTTTGAAGCGACATAGCTTCGCCGCTCTAAAAAAATCCTGGAGGTATGACGGTTCAAAGCGACATAACTTCGCCGTCGATCTTGGCGGATTCTACGGACCTCCCCGAGTAGCCCCTCCCTTTTTGGCCCCTATCGGGCTTTATTTGGCCGAGATATGACCATTTAAAGTTTTCCAAAAAAAATCGTGTGGTTATCGCCGTTGATCATGACGAGATTATGTCGTTTTGAAGCGACATAGCCTCGCCGCTCTAAAAAAATTCTGGAGATATGGCGTTTCAAAGCGACATAACTTCGCCGTTTATCATGGCGAGATTATGTCGTTTTGAAGCGACATAGCTCCGCCGCTCTAAAAAAAATCCTGGAGATATGACGTTTCAAAGCGACATAACTTCGCCGTCGATCTTGGCGGATTCTACGGACCTTCCGAGTAGCCCCTCCTTTTTTGGCCCCTATCGGGCTTTATTTGGCCGAGATATGACCATTTAAAGTTTTCCAAAAAAAATCGTGTGGTTATCGCTGTTGATCATGGCGAGATTATGTCGTTTTGAAGCGACATAGCTCCGCCGCTCTAAAAAAATCTTGGAGATATGACGTTTCAAAGCGACATAACTTCGCCGTTGATCATGGCGGATTCTACGGACCTCCCCGAGAGCCCCTCCCTTTTTGGCCCCTATCGGGCTTTATTTGGCCGAGATATGACCATTTAAAGTTTTCCAAAAAAAATCGTGTGGTTATGGAGTTATGTCGTTTTGAATCGACATAGCTCCGCTGCTCTAAAAAAATCCTGGAGATATGACGTTTCAAAGCGACATAACTTCGCCGTCGATCTTGGCGGATTCTACGGACCTCCCCGAGTAGCCCTCTCTTTTTGGCCCCTATCGGGCTTTATTTGGCCGAGATATGACCATTTAAAGTTTTCCAAAAAAAATCGTGTGGTTATCGCTGTTGATCATGGCGAGATTATGTCGTTTTGAAGCAACATAGCTCCGCCGCTCTAAAAAAATCTTGGAGATATGACGTTTCAAAGCGACATAACTTCGCCGTTGATCATGGCGGATTCTACGGACCTCCCCGAGAGCCCCTCCCTAGTTGGCCCCTATCGGGCTTTATTTGGCCGAGATATGACCATTTAAAGTTTTCCAAAAAAAATCGTGTGGTTATCGCCGTTGATCATGGCGAGATTATGTCGTTTTAAAACGACATAGCTCCGCCGCTCTAAAAAAATCTTGGAGATATGACGTTTCAAAGCGACATAACTTCGCCGTTGATCATGGCGGATTCTACGGACCTCCCCGAGAGCCCCTCCCTTTTTGGCCCCTATCGGGCTTAATTTGGCCGAGATATGACCATTTAAAGTTTTCCAAAAAAAATCGTGTGGTTATCGCCGTTGATCATGGCGAGATTATGTCGTTTTGAAGCGACATAGCTCCGCCGCTCTAAAAAAATCCTGGAGATATGACGTTTCAAAGCGACATAACTTCGCCGTTGATCTTGGCGAGATTATGTCGTTTTGAAGCGACATAGCTCCGCCGCTCTAAAAAAATCCTGGAGATATGACGTTTCAAAGCGACATAACTTCGCCGTTGATCTTGGCGAGATTATGTCGTTTTGAAGCGACATAGCTCCGCCGCTCTAAAAACTCTTGGAGATATGACGTTTCAAAGCGACATAACTTCGCCGTCGATCTTGGCGGATTCTACGGACCTTCCGAGTAGCCCCTCCCTCTTTGGCCGCTATCGGGCTTTATTTGGCCGAGAAATAGCCATTGAAAGTTTTCCAAAAAAATCGAGTGGTTGTGGACATATTAGTAAAAGAAAGCATTGCATACTTTCGAGCTGTCCGCATAATATGCTTGAGCCTATTAGAATAAGTTTTACTGCATACTCTTGGGGCGCGCATAAATTAGCCCTTTACAATAGGCACGTGGCAGCAACTTTGATGAAATATTAAAATGGAAATAACTCGGCTAAATTCAGTCCAATTGCGGAATGATATACCTCTTTGTACTCGTATGGATGTCGACCATCGATTACCATCCAAAAATTCCACGAGATGACCCAAAATCAGAAAAAATGCAGAGCGACATAATCTCGCCATGATTAACGGCGGCTATGTCATTTTGAAGCGACATAGCTCCGCCGATTTAAAAACGTCGTACGGATATGACGTTTCAAAACGACATAACTCCCCCGCCCAGAGGCTGCTAACAGTGGTATGTTAACTAACAGCTACATAACATTGAACTGTTAAATAACAGTTCTTTAACAGTAAACTGTTCAAAACTCTCAACTTTGATTTGAAAATGTGCCGTCTGTTGGCGCAGTTAAGTGGAATTTAATTGTCAACAAAGAGTATCAGAGAGCATTTTTGGAACGGATTTGGAACTTTAGGGTCATCAGGACTATATCTATGGTATATTAAAACCAGGGATATATATCGGTCATCTGAGAACCATAGTTGAAGGAGGGTATGGGGATGGATTCATACATTCATATTTCTGGAGCATTTCCGAGCGAATCTTGCACGGTTTTATGCTTATAGGTTTACTAGGACTATATCTGTGGTATGGGTATAACCAAGGATATTCAGGTCAACTAGGAACCATCTGTTATTTAGGTTAGCCAGGACTTTATCTACGGTATAATATTACCATGGATATTTAGGTCAACTAGCAACCATTGTGGCGGCGCGTGTCCACAGTTGAGAGCGGCTTCCAGAAAAGCGTGCGATGTAATGGCTATATCGCCCTTTTAGCTTCACCAGGAATATATATTTATGATATGGTACGATGAATGATATGTGGATTATCTAAGAACCCACGGCTCCAATTTTTTGTTTGCCCGTGGGTGAAGCAGCCGAAGGTTCGTTGTTTATTCCTTATTCATTTTTTTCTTTTTTAAATCCCGTCTGAGTTTTGCCATTTTGAATTCGTGTCCTCTTGAGAGTTCCTCAACCTGTAAACATAAAAATAATATATCACAATAAAACTTTAACAATACCAAAATTAAAAAAGGAAAATATATAATTAAACAAAGTTATATATTTAGATATGTATATATCTTGGGTAAATGACGCACGATCTTAATAAGATTTGAAGATGTATTGTTTTATTCCTGTAATCATGTTAAGCTTAAATATGTGAGGCAACATTTCCTCGAGTGTTGTGTTTACATTTCATTTGTTTTATTTAAGCCCGATTTTCTTTTACGTCAGTCATTCTTCTGGGGTTTGTTCGGCCTATTAATACATTAACCAGCTGGGAATTACCGCTTACGAGTCAGCTGACCAAAAACTTTTGGCCCTTCAGGCCTTCAGGCAGAATTGCGTCACATTTATCAGGCATCACATGAATAGCCGGGAAAATGGCCAAGCTAGGAGCAATTTAAGCACTGTCAAGGGATTGAAATGTTGTACGCTGCGACTGGACGACGCTGAAGCATGCCTCAAAATGTTGTGTTTGGTAAATGTGCAAGATTTTGATTTTGTCGCCTAAACGAGTTGACTTTAGCGGAGGTGGTGGTAATGAGGGAGTGCGAATGGTTCATTTAGTTGCACATGGCGAATGTGCAACCAGTTGGCTTTAAACTCTTTGCTTGTGTTGGCTGCGGTTGTTGTAGCTGTCATTCAACCAGTTGTTGTTGCTGTTGATGTTGTTGCTGCAGCTCATAAATAATTCAAATAATTTACACGCTTGCTTAAACGTTCGCTGTGTGTGTGTGTGTGTGTGTGTGTGTGTGTGTGCTTGCTCGTGTACGTTGGTTGGGCATACCGCATTATGTGGTTCATTGGTTTGTGCCACACGCCGCGTAGCATGCAACCAGCCAAAGCATAGCTACCAACTAGGTCCGTTGATGCTGCCGCTGCTTTTACAGTTAACTAAAGTGAACTCAGCTAAACTTTTACAACTCCCCCACACACACACACACACACACACACACACGCTTTTCCGACTGTTGTCGGTTGCTGTGGTTTTGCATTTTCATATCACGCTTAAATATTTTACAACGATTTTGAGCTGTCGCCTCGTTGTTGCTGTTTTTATGCATCAAACTGGCAAAGCTGCTACATTTTATAATATCATAACTCCATGGAGAGAACCCTTGTCCAGTTTTATGCCAAACTCTATACATATGTGAGCAGGCTGTAAACTATTCAACTCAGTAAGCTTGCCCTAGTACAATTTGAACACTCAGCTGTTAGGCAAACGCTTCAAATGGACTTTGTAAATTATTTAATAATAATCTGTTTAAATATAGTATTACTTAAGCTATAACTATAGATTGTTGAATGTCGTTGCTTAGCTTTAAAGTCCCACTAATGAGTCTTTAATTATTGCTTTACTTTTCGTGCAATCAGGTATAATGAATATATAAGCAACGTGGGGAAACCAGACGTCAGAATTACATATTTACAAATATTATTGGGATAGAATTTCAACGCATGAAACTCGTATTAGTAAATAAAATAAATAATTTGTCTAATAAAAGTGCGAACTAAGATAAAATACCACATTGTACAGAGAAATATTTTGAAATAATTAAATTATTGGCAGCTTAAAACCTTGCATGTTCCTTATCTAAATAATATTCCTTTGAGTAAAATTAATTAGCCATTTAAATTACCTTAGAGATAATATCCAAGTATGAAACTATGATACTTTATATGATAAAAGTTCGTGACAAGGCAAGATATCATTTATATTAATAATAAAATATAGAGAAATATTTTTGAATTATTAAATTAACAGCAGCTTAAGCCTCAACTTAAATAAACTATTGCCAATACAGAAAATAATATTAAAATAAAAATAATATTCTTGTATGTAAAATAAAATATCTTCGGTTTAAATATTAAAGATTATTTCTGTCATGTTGTATTCATGCTGACATTAAACATCATTTTATGAAATTATGCGGCATTCAATTGCCGAGTTTTAACAACTTTAAAGCTTTTACTGCAATCCCTGCAGTCTCACATCAATAGTTAACACTTTTTCGTATTGCATTTCAAGACAAGACAATCAAGACAAAGTCGTCTCGGAAAACTAGTTGCCTGATATCCTTGTGCATTCACATTTCCATTATCAGCATTGTATGCTCAACGGGTTTCTTGGCCTTCAGTTTAAGTTGAACTATTTCAAAAATAAGTGCAAATTTTATCATATATATTTTGTATGACAGCACAATTATTGATTTTTTTCTTCTGGCAACGTAGACCTGGCCTTCTTTTTCTGCATAGGCAGTTAATGTATATGGCAATAGTACGAGTGGTACACTTCAGCAAATACTCTAGCTGATTTAAATACTGACAGTCAAGTGTCTGAATGGAATACTTTTGTAAATCGGTTTTACAATTAAGAGCTCGATTTTTACTTTTAGAAATCGTTTCTGTGCCTCCGAGCAATACACAACTCCAAGTCAAATAAAATAAGCAATGACAATTTCTGCTGACACAAAACAAGTTGAAACAAACTAATTTCGCGACCACAAAATACCCTACGGCCAGTTCCGTAGAGAGAGAGCTTCAGATATAGAGCAGCTACAGGGTATACAAATACTCAATGGGTGAGCTCATTTTTCTCGCATGTTTCTTACGTCATGCCTCTCTGCAAGCGCAAACGCTCTAAATGTCTCTTGATTCTCATTATAAATTACGAGACATTCTTTTTTTTCACTTTTTTGCACATGTCAGACACGTTTTAATACCCTAGCATGGGGCATACAGCAAAGTACACGCATTTAGAATTTACATTTAATCTTAAACTTTTGCAAATATGATTTATTTCTTGATTCTTTCCATTCTGCGTAAAATGCAAGCAATACTCTTTATAAAGAAAAATATTGCAACAGCAAAGAACTACTCAAGTTGTTTGGCAAGTGCATTTGGACTTCGGCAGAAACCATATATCAAATTTTTTTGCTGACAAATTAATTATGTTCCACATTGCAAATCTGTCGCTCTAGATTATATAAAAAAAAAAAGAAGAAAAGGCAAATAAACTTAAGAATTTACGTTTTCGAAATATTTTAGATTTTTGTTTGCAATTTGAATGGGTTCCACAAAACTTTCCGCTCTCTTTGCTGGCGTTCTCTCTGGCATTCTTTCTATTTGGCCACCAGTTTCCTTTGAACTCTCGTTCTAGGCGAGTGGTCTCGGCTTTGCTCAGCAGCTGTCGAAACGGACACACCCATATGAAAAAGGTAATGGAATTGGGGCTTGGCATTGGCCTCATACATATAGTTTTAACACTTGTCGCTATGGGAAGTGCATGGAAAAACGGTAAGTTGTGTGCATTTGATTGTATTTCATTAAATCTATATGCATCTATAACGTACCTATGAGTGTATACTGAAAGTACTTTTCTATAACAGGCACGCTTTCGATTGTAGCGTATTCGCTCTATTTATTTCTCAATGTGTTTCTCTGTGCGCGCCTGACGAAGGGTGATCTTTATGTCATCTTATTGTGGTTCACTTTTACGAGTATTTTGTTGTTCTACAGGATATTTTGCATTGACAAATACCAATATTGGCCATTCTATATACTTACCAACTGTAAGTTAAGTGTACAATTGAACATTTCTCGAAATCTAAACCGCATTCTGACTGCTCGCAGATTTTATGGGCGCATCTCTCATTATGATGGCAGTAGTTTACTTTGTACTTGGAAGTAAGAAATTTAATGAAAACGCCAAGCCAGTTCTGCAAACGGTTATCTCCGACCCGACAACAAATCGAACAGAAACGAGCACCAAGCCGGCTACATCACTTACACCTACGGTCAGCAGACCACCTGGCTGGAGAGAAAATCTATACTATGCTGAACCGATGGAAAACCGAGCAAGGCACGAATACCCGCGCTTGGGTTGGCTACCTGATCTCTACCCAGACTCGAATGGGTCATTTGATAGGTTTATGCCCAGCGCACCTGAGCTAAGCACCGCTGATTCAGGTGATAATCAGTGCAATCCTTTCGATTTCAACTGTGGCGATAACAATGATACGGAAACCAGCTGCGATAAGCATAAATGCTGCGATAAGGATTATAGTTGCGATAATGCTGCCGATTTAGGTGGCGGCTGTGACGATGGCGGCGGCGCAGATTGTGGATGCGGGGACAACGATGGTGGAGGGGGCAACGATGATTAAAGTAAAATGTGGAACTCGACTTATACTCTAATGTTACCTCAAATTACGAAGTGTTGACTTAATATAAATAATCAAGCATTTCAATTTGTATTTTAAGTTTAGAACAATTAAGCACTGTGCCTTAAATAGTCACCGATAGACTATTTAATATCCTTCGAAATTAAAAAAACCAAAGAATATACCTCAAATTAAATTTTTAGTTTTATACTTATTGCATTATTGCTATAGCAATAAATAAACGATATCATTTTTGTTTGGTTATATATAAGAAATATATATATGATGTATTTTATATACCTTGCTTTATTGATTGGATGAGGGCATTAGCTAATCGGCGTGCTATTAATGGCATTCCTATGGTATTTGTTGCATGCAAAGGAAATAGGTTCCACAGCATTTGCCGCTCTCTTTGCCGGCTTGTTCTCTGGATTTCTTTCTATTTGACAGTCAGTCTACTGAAGCCTTCGCTCTGAGCGAGTGGTCTTGATTTCGGTCGGTAGTTGCCACAAACCCCCTTATGACAAGCGTTAAGGAATTGGGGCTTGGCTTTGCCCTCTTAAGTATATTTTTAATACTTGCCGCTTTGGGAAGTGCGTGCATGAGCCTGCATGCACATGAATCAGACGGTGAGTTGGGCGCATTTGATTGTATTTGATTGTAAACGTCAATGTATTTGCATAAATGACGTAGATAAGTGTGTGCTAATAATACTTTAATATAACAGACGTCACGCCTTGGATGTGGATTGGAACGTATTCGACGTATATATTTCTCAATGTGTTTCTCTTTGCGCGCCTGATAAAGAACGATCTTAATGTCATCATATTGTGGTTCCCTTTAACGATAGTTTTGTTTCTGTTCAGGCTATTTTGCATTGACAAATACCAATATGGGCCATTCTATATACTTACCAACTGTAAGTAAGTGTACAATTGAACATTTATCGAAATCTAAAATGTAATCTGACTGTTTGCAGCTTTTATGGGCGCTTCCCTTGTTATAATGCCAGTAGTTTACTTTATACTAAGAAGAAAGAAATCTAATGAAATGGCCAGGCCAGTTCCGCAAACGGTTAGCAGCAACTCGACAACAATTCGAACAGGAGCAAGGACCAAGCCGGCTAGATCATTTATACCTACGGTAAGCAGACCAAGCCGCTGGAGAGAAAATCAATATTACGCTGAACCGATGGAAAACCGAGCAAGGCACGAATACCCCCGCTTGGGTTGGCTACCTGATCTCTACCTAGACTCGAATGTGCCCTTTACGCTGGGCACAGCACCTGAACCAAACACTTCTGCTTCAGGTGATAATCAGTGCAATAGTTTCGATTTTAATTGCCGCGATGACAATGTTAAGGAAAACTGCTGCGATAAGGATAATTGCTGCGATAAGGATAATTGCTGCGATAACGGTGCCGATGGAGGTGGCGGCTGTGACGATGGCGGCGGCGCAGATTATAGTGGAGGCGGGGACTACGGAGGTGGTGGCGGAGATTATGATGGTGGTGGCGGGGACTGCGATTGCGGAGGCGGCAACGATGATTAGAGTAGAATGTGGAACTCGAATAACACTCGAATATTAACTAAATCTCGGAAGTGTTTACTTCAAACAAATAGTCAAGTATTTATATTTATATTTTTAGTTTTTAACAATGAAACATTGTGCCTTAAATAGTTACCGATAGACTGGTTAATATCCATGAATACTCAACAAGCCAAATAATATGCCTAAGATGCATTTTTGTAGCTTTATAATATTTACAATATTTTTGCTTTAGCAAACCACAAACGTCGTAATTTTTGTTAAGTTTGTTTAACAAATATATTCAATGTATTCGTTATAGATATTTTCATTGATTTAGCCGCATTGTGAGGGCATTTGCTTGTCGGCGCGCTGCCAATCGCATTCTTGCAGTATTTGTTGCCTTCAATGTGAATATGGGTTCCACAGCACGTGCTGGCCGCCCTCTCTCTCCCTCTCTCTCTCGCTCTTTCTCTGTGTTTTCTCTCAGGTGCTCTCTCGCACGGCTGACCAAGCAACACGGTCGCCAGTCTACGCTAAACGCTCGTTCTGGGCGAGCGGTCTTGAACTTGGTCGGTGGCGATTATTAGAGTACAAAGTGGAATATATAGCTCGTTAAATATTTAAGTGATTACTTTAAGACTACAAATGACAAACATCGCTAATTGCATTGTTCTTTAAGCAATCAGGGTTTGACTGTAGGCAAGAAACACAAGAGGCTGAGCGATACGCCTTAAAAGAATATTGCATATGCCATATCTTTAATTTTATCTTGAAATATAGTCACATATATTATGTTGTCATATAACTTAGTATAAACATATATGTGTTTGTTAAGTTAAGTCTTTAATGTGTCTAGTTTAATTTGTTTGTTTTGTAAACTTTTTGTTGTTTTATAAATATAAATAGCTGATAATTTAGAACGTTTAATTTGTGCAATTTAAATGGGTTCCACAGGCCCGATGCCGCTCTCTTCTCTGTCTCTGGCTCTGGCTCTGACGCGCTCTTCTCTCGCGCTCTCTCGCCTTAACCTATCTAACCTAACCATTTGATCGCCAGTCTACTTTGAACCCTCGTTACGGGCGAGTGATCTCGAGATTGATCTAGAATTGTTTATCGCCAAACTGGAAGCTCTCATATGGCAGCCACGAATTTGGGATTTGGCATCGTCTTGTTAAATGTCATATGGACACTTTACGATATTGGCAGTGCCAGCTTCAGTCTGTACACAGATGAATTAGACCGTGAGTTGTTTGTATTTAATTGTTAACTGGCATCAAAATGCATATATACGTATACACTCATATATTGAAAGTATCTTTTAATGCCAGACACGACGGCTTGGCTGTGGATTGGAGCGTATTCGCTCAATTTATTTCTCAATGTGTTTCTCTTTGTGCGGCTGCCAAAGAGCGACCTTTTGGCCATCCAATCGTGGTTCTCTTTTACGATTGTTTTGCTGCTGTTGAGGGTGCTTTGCATTGACTTTATGGAACTGTCTAACTACGAACTGTATCCCTATATAGTTATCAATGGTAAGTCACTGGTCACTGAGCAATTAGTTAACATTTATTGAAACTTAACAAAGAGTTATCCTTCCCCTGCAGTTTATATATTCGTATCACTTATTGTAATGGCAATAGTTTATGTCAAAGTAAGGGGTAACAAATCCTATAAGCCGCCCAAACAAGTCCTGCAAACCGTCAACTACATACTGACAACAAATCAAACAGTTAAGAGGACCAAGCCCGCCAGGATAAATGCACCGGTGATAAGCAGACCATTTGTCGGACGAGCCAATCGGAATAGCATTGCACGACTGGAAGGCGGAACGTGGCATGAAACTCCGCATCCTGATCATAGCCTCAACTCGAGTGCGTCATTTAACAATTTTATGCTCAGCGCACTTCAGACAAGCTCCTCTGCAGGTGATAGCAGCTGTTTTGAGAATGTCGTCGGTGGCGGCAACGGCGGAGGTGTGAACCGTAGTTCTGGGGAGGGAGATGAGGATAGTGGAGGCGGGCACTACGATTGTGATTAGATAATAATGTGGAATGGAATGTGAAAATCAACAAAAACAATACTCGAATAGTGCTTCAAACTCGGAAGTGTTTCGCTTCAAAAACAAACATGGAAGCAACTATGATTGCATTTATACACAAAAGTCACCGACAGACTATTCAATATTCTAAGAAACTCAACCAGCCTCGAAGAAATTTTATAAAATTTTATATTGATTGAAGTATTCAAAAAACAAAACAAACAAAAAGGACTTCCCTAAATTTTAATATTTATATTTTAAAAATATGACAATTTTATAATATTTATAAATACATTTTATTTAATTTACTTTAAGTATATTAAGTGACCAATAAATATACATTTTATACAGTATATTAATTTGTTTCACTGGCTTAGTTGCTTTGTGAGGGCATTAGCACGTCGGCTTGCTGGCAAAGGCAGTCTAACATTGTTTGTTGTTTGCATTGGGATTGGGTTCCACAGCACGTGCTCGCCGCATTCGGCGGCTCTCTTCGTTCGGCCGCTCACGCTCCCTCTCTCTCTCTCTCTCTCTGTCACACTCTCACGTGCGCTCTCTCTCACACGGCTGACCAAACAATACGGTCGCCAGTCTACGCTGAACCCTCGTTCTGGGCGAGCGGTCTCGGGTTCGGATTCGCGTTTGTTTATGTCGTAAGAGCGTTCCACTCACATTCACAATCACAATCACACCCGCATTCACAAATACATTCACAAAGAGACGCACTCATTTGCCGCCTGCCAAGATGAGCAAATTTTTGGACTTGGGCCTTGGCATTTCAATAATCAATTGGTACTACTCGCTATCATATTTTCTAATGTGGTGCGTGGCACTACGGCTTACAACAGACGATGGTAAGATATCGGGTATCGAATAATCCAAGTGAAATAATACTATAAATGACAGCTGTTTTGGGTTGCATGTTTTCATAGACAATGAGCCATTTGTTTGGCTAACCGTTTACATGGGCAACGTGTTTCTCAATGTGTTTCTCTTCGTTGGCCTGCGAAAGAGAGATCGCTTGGCGGTCAAAATATGGTTCTCTTTGACGCTGCTCTGGTTCCTGCCCAAACTGTATGACCACAAAAGGGGTTGTCGTCTGGACGCGCGCGGTTCAACGTACCGAATCGTCAACATAGTCATGGAAAGTACGTAGGCACGCAACAACTTTGAAATACTCTCCTTTTTCATATGCAAACCATATATTCTCACACAGGCTATGTAATCATATCTTTTGCCGTCATGATGCTGGTTTATGCCCATCTGCCCAAGAAACTGCCCAAAACTGAGCAGCGCTCAAGACATAAGACATATGCAGATACCCCCGATATACAAATGGTGGATATGAGCTCAAAGGTGGCAGCAATTGCGCCCCTGGCTACGGAGGAAGTGTTTACGGACGAGGAGGCAGAGTGCCTGCCTGGCAGCAGCAAGCAACAGGTGTTTGAGTTCCATCGAGCTGCCGGCGATGACTAGCATATTGTACAAATTACTTAGCTATATATATGTGTACATATATATTTTTGTTTATGTATATATCTATATATATTTCTTAACATTCCCGCACAATTTCATATGCAACTTTAATTGTTGTCACAAATTTCACACTCGTTCCAGAAATGCGTAGCCTTTTATACAACAGACTTAAAACTTTACACTAACATATTACTATTGTGTAGTTAAATTGTTAAGTTTCTTTTATTATATATTTTTAGAAAGAATGAGAGAGGGACAATAATAAAAACAACTGCGACTCGCAGTCGCAACTTATCATTGCAAATTTGGTTTGGTAAAATTAATGCGCTTATCCCACACACGCACACACACACACGCACATACACACTCAGGGGAAAGTTGGGCAAACACAAACAAACAGCTAAATGAAGAGGAACTTTACTAACTTTTGGTAACAGCTTTGCGAGGGAGGAGGGGGAAGCGCCGACTTTCCCCGTCTGCACTCTTGACGCATTGTTGTTGTTTATTGGCCGGTGACTGGGCGCAAGGCGAAGGGATTACGATCAAAGCGTTCGATTGAGTGTGTCAATAAATTCCTGCCAGTCGCCCGAGTGCAGCACATTTGTCCGGACATCAGCGATAAATAGTTGCCACCCGTTGCCACTTCCCCACCCCGCAAGCCCCGCATGCCGCACAGCATCTCTTGAGCTTTTGGCCAAAAAGTTTCGTGTGAATTTAGTGCGGCTCATTAAGCTGACCGGCCACGTTGCACGTCCTGTTTGGCCCGGACCAACCGTCAGTCATGTGTGTGCTCAGCGAGTGTGTGTGGGTGTATGTGGGTGTGTGTGGCAATGGCTTTTTGGCTTCAACTTCATTATGTGGCCATGATGAGCAGGAAATTGTTTGCGCCATTGTCATTCGCAATGTCATTGTCAATGAGAGCGCAAACATTTCGCCATTTGTCAATCTTTCTTCATTTTTTTTTTGCCGCGCTTTTTTGCTGCTCTTCTTATTTTTTTTGCTATTTATATTATTGTTAGGCTTTAAATGGGCGCGCTCATTAAGAAAATTAATGCTAGGGTTTCCATTAAAAGTGTCAAAGTGCGCACATTAAAATATCAGCTTAAGCTGGAAAGTGCTTCTTGGCCAACTTTTGTTGCGTTTGTTTGGGCCTTGTTCAGACGCTCAACTTTGTTGCCTGCCTCGATTTTTATGAACAAACAAACATTAAAGACGCATAAAATGTTGACGCAGCGCAGCGCAGCTTTGTTTGCCGCTGATCATAAAAGGACTGAGACACACACACACACACACACACACACACACACACGCGCGCGCACAACACACACACACACGCATTTATAGTGTATGTTGTCTTGTGGCAACTCATAAAACTAAACCGCAATTCATCAGTAAATTCCTTGTTTGGCCCCATCGACGACTGCTCGATAACAAATGTTGTTGTCGCTGTTGTTTTTGTTCTACATATGCGTTTGTCGTTCAATTGTTGTAGTTGTTGTTGTTGCTGCTGCTGGCCTTTTTTTTTTTTTAGATTCCTAATTTCCTTTATTTGGTTTATTTTGCGCTGGAATCGATCAGTGCCTTCTGATCTCTACCAAGCGGAGTTAAGGGTATAGTGTATAGTTATTATTTAATAACTTAAATGATAATTACAGACTTAAAAATATATAACAATAATGGGAAAGGGATGTTTAAGTGATGTGCCTCGTTGGTAGGTCGTCGGGGTGTAGCCTTCGGAGGCGCCTCTCACTGATGGGCTCAGCCAGGGCCCTTGCGGCCGCGTTCGGATGCTGCACCAATTTGTCGGAGTATCGGCTGCTGAAGAAGTTGAGCTGATCTCCGACCTTTGTTAGGCGGAGATCGCGTTCGATGGCGTCTGTTGTTACGTACCATGGCAGGCCAGCAACCTTGCGTGCTGCCTTGGCTTGGACCACTCTTATGCGACGGAGCTGGTGTGCTGATGCCGTGCCCCAAACTTGGATCGCATATGTCCAGATAGGCGTTACCATCGTTTTGATAAGCAGTGTCTTCGTGGATATGTGCAGCTTGCTTTGAGGCTTTAGTAGCCAATCGAGCTTTTGAAGTCTTCTCAGGCATTTTGCTCTCGTTGCTGCGATGTGAGGCCCCCATATGAGCCTTCGATCCAGGTGGACACCCAAGTAGCAGAAAGAGTTGGTCTGCTCAATGGTTCCTCCATCGAACCGTAGCCCCTGGCAGCTGTGTGGGCGCAGCGTAAAAGTGACGCAGGCGGACTTGGCACAGTTTATAGCGATGTTCCACATAGCTGTCCAGGTTTCGATCTGCAGCAGCCAGTCCTGCACTGCACTTGTAGCAGCTTGCAGATTTTTGTGGGAGGCTAGGAAGGCAGTGTCGTCCGCATATGTTGCCACCAGCAGTCTCGCAGGGCTGAGGTCTTCGTTGCTTTGTCCTTGTGTGGGCAGGTCCGCCGTATACAGCGTGTACAGCATCGGACCGAGGACGCTGCCTTGTGGGACACCTGCTCTGATGCCCTTAATTGCCGACCTTTGGTCTTTAACGGCCACATTAAAGGTGCGTCCTGCCAGAAAGGAGCTAAGGATGCTGAAGTATGGCGCTGGGAGTATCAGTTTGATCTTGAACAGAAGACCATCGTGCCAGACCTTGTCAAACGCTTGTTTGACATCGAGGAAAACGCCGACGCAGTATTGCTTCTGCTCAAAAGCTTCTAGTACGTGTTTTACTGCCCGGTGGACCTGCTCGGGGCAGCCGTGAGACTTTCTGAAGCCAAACTGATGATCCGGGACCAGGCGCGTGACCTCGTCGAGTTCTAAGAGACGGCTTAGCTGCTGGCCTGAAAATAATTTAGTGCGCTGCCTGAAAATATGCTACAGTTTTATGCGGCCATAAAATGCCAGAAATTGTTTTTATTATATGTAATTATTATGTTATGCATGTGTGTGTGCGTCTGTTTGTGTGTTTATTGCCATTGGCTTAAATAAAGTTGAAAATGAACTGCTGATGCGTCCGTCAAACTTCTTAACATGGATACATATAGTGTGCCCCACGCACACGTTTAAATTTGAACTGTCAGTTTTGCAGCTTATCTGTCGCACATTTCTAAGAGCCAAATTATGAAGCTTTCTGCTTAACTTTTAGCCATTCGAAACAATGGCACAAAGTCAACAAACTTTAGCAGCAATTGGCCTTGCAACAGCAGCAACACCAGCGTGCCACTAAAATGCAGCACGTTTGCTGCTGCTGCTGTGCGTGGGTTGGGGGGTTGACCAGGCAGGTTCCCAGAGTTCGACTTTATGTCACGCACTGCAATGGCAAAGCTTTCTTGTTCTTAATGCGCCCCAGCACGCACAACCACACACACACAACCACACACACACAACCACACACACACAACCACACACACACAACCACACACACACAAGCTGAGATACTTTTAAACTGCAGCGCATTACGTGCTGCGAGGGTTTTTGTCAGCTGCTGCAGCAATTGCAATTGTTGCTGCAAGTGCTGCTGCTGCTGCTGCTGCTGCGATTGCATTACAGCTTTAACTTTCTGGCTCATTAGGATGATGTGCAGTTAGTAGAGTTATTAAATGCGTAGTTAGAGGGAAAAATAACAGGGAACAGCCATTGGCAGCTCGCATTCATAATGACTCGTTGCGAACTGCAGTTGCCACACGCAAAGAAAGCGCAAAGAAATATTTAATTAAAAATGGTTTTTAATGCGCCACAATTGCTGCATCCTTCAAAAGTTTTGCATTAGTTTAGCTAATTTGGCTCATCATCAGTTAATAAGATTACGCATTGAAAAAAATATATATATATATATATCTTTATAACTAGTTTTATATTTCTGCCATCTGATGCTTACAAGCTTTCCCACATCTTGAAGAATGTACTTAAAGCGTGAAAAGTGAAAAGCGCACGAGGCAATTGCAATACTAGAGTCGAGTGAAACGTCTGCTGATAATAGAACTGGGAGATTCTTTGAGTAGATCAGTTATTGTCGACTGATAATTATATATAAAAAATAGCCAACAATATTGAAAATCGCGATTGATGCTTAAGTCGAGGGCAGCTTCTGCTGATAATAGAACTGGGAGATTCTTGGAGTAGATCAGTTATTGACGATTAATATTTGTGTGCAGTTGGTTAGCATGCCTCATAACGTTTAATTGCTAAGCCTGAAAAATAAGTTTAAAACAAAAGCACTTAAAATAAAACTTGATATATCAAACGCAACAGAATGTGCTTTTACAGCTTTAGACTCCGGCGACAAAGTAGCACTCGCCTAGCTAAATACTCTATCTGCTGTATTTACAGCGAATGAAGTTCATTTATTGCCCGAATTTTCATTAGCCATTCAAGGAAATAAACTTAAATCAGTGCCACGCGTCGTATGCGTAATGTGAGCAGTTGTTGAGGGACGGGAGTTTGGGAATTTGGTTGCTTAGTTTATAGTATAGCCGGAACAATCGGAACAATCAAAGTTTTATTGTTGTGCAAATATTGAATAAGGAAATGCTCAAGTGGCAGCGCCTCTCAAGAGGGGCGTGACCTCACATAAGCCACAAAGGCAAGTCCCGACTTAAAAGACAATCACAAAAGGCCGCACAAAGAATGAAAGCCAGGCAAATGGCGGGAGAGGGGTGAAGAGGATGGTGTGGAGTGGGTGAGGGGTCGGTCTGTCGACTGACCAGCAAATGAATGGACGGCGTAATAATTGCAGACGCCGGGACACATCCAAAATGTCACGTACTGGCTATAAACCGCTGCTAATTTACGATGCCCCTGGACGAGGCCAATAACAAAGCTCGCAGCTCGACGGAAATCAAATGGGGGCTAGCCCCGTCGTCTAAGCAGGCACTTGGCCACTTGGAAAGTTGATGCCCGATAATGTTGCATGAGCATTTGGAGTTCGAGCTGGTATTGAAGCTGAAGCTGGGTGCTTGGGCCTTGTGGCACGTTACGTCGGCTGCATAGAAATGGCCTTCAAAACGAAACGCAAATATCAAAAATGCCAATAACGCCGCATAGTAGACTTGGCTTAATGCGCATTAAATGAAGGCCGCACGGGAAATGGCCAAAAGAAAAAACAATGAAAGAATCCAAAGGCACGGCAACGGACACGCACCAAGCTGGCGTTGGGCGTGGCAGTCGTGTCCAGCCCTGGTCCAAGTCGCATTGCATTAGTCATATTAAAAACGGCTCTCATGCAAAGCTGCCTTTTAGCCCGAATAATGTGGCATTGTTGAAAGTTGCAACAAGCGCAGCTGCTGCTGAAAGGCGCGCCGGCAGCCTTAAAAGTGGTTTTGCTCTTGGCTTTGCAGCTTCATTGAGGCGGCAACTGTGCATAGTTGTTGTTGCCACAAGCCGCAAGTTTAGACGAATATGCAACTTGCGCTTTGCGACTTGAGTGATTTAATTGCCGCACGGCGCGTTCCCAATTTGAAAGCGCAACAAATTACGTGCAACAGTTCTCAGCAGCGTTCAAAGAGTATTCGAATTCGAAAAGCCAGATGCTCTTAAATTGTCGTGTAGACTTGTCCGCACACGCTGTATAAGAGTGCGGCATGTGGCATGTGGCAGGCGCAGGCGCTGCTGCAAGTCGACACAGGAAATCAGCTGCTGCCGCCGCTTTTGCCATTTGCCAAAAAACGGCCACATTGAGGCAGTTTGTCAATAGTTATGCTTGGGTATAGGTTAAAGACGCATGTGCCGCAATAGCAACAGGACACGTTTAAAGAGTCGCCCCACAAAAACAAAAAACACACAAGACTGATTTCTTATTTTAAAAACTACAATGCAAATGCAGCTAATCAAAAAAAGTGTTTAAACTAAATCAAAAAAAAATTAAAAAAAATAAATAAAATCAAAACAAATTCAATAATGAATGCTAAACAAAATAAAAATTAAACTCAAAGTTGGAAAATGTGAAAAGTGAAAAGCCCGCATAATTAGGACGAAAAATAGAAAATAAATATAAAAAAAAAAGACAAACACGCACACAGCTGCAGAGATTGTGGCTGAGTTTTGAGGTTGTTGTCGGGCATTGTTGTTGTCGTTGTTCTTGTTGTTGTAGTTGTTGTTGTCATTGTTGTCGTCGCTTCGTCGCCTGTGCCACACGGCATAAATATTTATGTTGACGTACTTACCTGCGGCGCTGCAACGTCGCTAATGAAGCGCACAAAATGAATGTGAAAGGACATAATTATGCTTATGTGTGAGTATAATAAATATAAATATATATAATATATATGCATGTTAACGTAACGCCAAGGTCAGCGACAAACAGCACTCCAGATCTCTCTGAAAGCCATAAATCCTTGGGGAGACAGCATTCAGTTAAGAATATTGAGAGCTGAACGCTGCACCTCCCAAATCGCGTGGAGACAAAAAGCAAATACTTGTATACCCTTCCAGAGGGAATGAATTATAATAAGATATAATATATAAGCTGTATCAACTGCCGAGTCAGCATAGCTACGTCTGTCTGTCCATCTGCTTTTCTCTATGCAAGCAGCCTTTTCCTAGAATAATCCTTCTGTTTCAGGTGGTACATATGTCGAAATTGCTTATAATGTTTTTTGTATCGTATGGCTGTTATAGGAATGCGTGTTCGCTAATTAAAACACTTTGTTTAATGTTAAGATATCTAAACCAGAGTTTGGTATGTTCTTTAACATCGAGCTACTATATCGTGTAGCTCCGTTTTGCAACATGTCTAGCCCAAGCAATTACGAGCTTCACTATTCACCCAATATAACTGCAACATCATATCAAATTGAACTAATATACTATTATATTATTATATAGCTCCTTTAGCAATATTTGGTCGGAAATAAAGCACTTGTATGAAAGCACTTCAATATAAATTTGATATTTATTTATTGATTTCTATTTATTTTTCGGCACACGACATTTCGATTTCTGTTCTTGCCAGCTAGGCAGTGCATTATTGTTTTGTCTATACAATTGCAGTTATTGCTGTTGTTGAGCTAATGGAAAATTGCCAGGCCTCAGGTCTTTGGCTGGTTACAAGTTTTATGGCTGCGTCCGCCTCAGTTGATTAGTTCAATTACCAACTATCGCTCTTTCTCGCTCTCGCTCTGCACCGGAATACTATAAAGTGGAGTTGCAGGCGTTGTCCAATTAGTTGACAGGCCTGGCAAACTTTATGGCCGTGTGGCAAAGTTGGAAATGCGCTTGAGTGCAGTTTGTTGTCAGACTTATGCCATTGTCAGCAGCAGCAAAGTTTTGCCACAATATCAGACGATTTCAATTTCAGATCAATTTGTGGGCTATGTCTGTCGCAGGAATGAGACAGACTGAGCGAAAGAGAGGGAGGGGAAAAGCAAGGAAATGACCATTCAGAAGCCATTTGCCCACATAAAAGATGCATTTAAACAATTTGCAACATATTTGCCATTTGTCCAGTGAATTTGTGCATTTGAGCGCTGAGTGGCCATTGTCGAGCATTTAACAACCTAAATATAATATACATATTTAATTAAAACATTTTGCTTAATAAAAAGCCACTTCTAATTGGCACATTGTCCAGGACAACATTCGCTCAGCGCTGAGAGCGCTGCAAGGATTCAAAGTTGGCTGGCGCAATGGACACTGCAAATAGAATTAAATTTGTGTGCAACGCACACACATACATATTTTCAAATTTCCACACAACTAACAGAACGATAGAGAAAACCGAGGGCAGGGCGAGGGTGGGAGGGTTGTAGAGTTGGACTGTGCACGGCACAAAGGCTAGCAAAAGATTATGCTGACACAACGACAACTAGGTGCGCGGGCGGGAAACAGGGGGACGGGGAAGAGCGAATGGGTGTGGCTGCTGCGGGTTCTGGCAGCATAAAAGGCGCTGCCAGTTTCAGGCATTCAACACAAAACTTTTTGTATATTTATTAGACTATGAATTAATTCAAGTGTGAGCGAGTGTGCGTGTGTGTCTGTCTGTCTGTCTGACTGTCTGTGTGTGTGTGTGTTGCCCGCGTGAAAGGATTCCGAATGCCTGACTGAGGCTGTTAAGCAAATGCGCGATTTTCGGACTATACCCCTCAGCGAGCTGACTGCAAACGTCAGCAAAAATATTTTCTATACATTGTATTTTTTATTTTTTTTTTACGTTTTTTAATATTTTTTGTCTATTTTTGTTGTTCGTTCTTTACATGATGCGGCTGTCAAGCGCCTCCGCACGCTGCGCCTGAGTCCTGCTCTTATATCTATGTACAAAAAAATGCTGTACACAGCGCAGCCTTGCCATAAAGCAACAACAACAACAACTACAACAACGACAACTAAGGCAAAAAACATTAGCAAACCACTCGCAGTTCATAATTAAAAGCGATTCGCACAAGGCAAAAGCAAAAGTAGCAGCCAAATAAGAGATGAGAATGGAAAACGGCTATAAAAAAATAATTTAGAATAAAATAAAAGTTAGCTCTGCGCATCTGACAAACATTTAGTTGTATTTATTAATAGCCAGACGGGGACGGGCATGCGGCCGGACCAAGGCGTTGCATATGTGAATTGAGGGCGTGGCTTTCGGTAGGTGGGGACCGGAGGCGATTACCTTGACTATGAAAATATTTCTCACACATGAGCTGCTTGGGCGCATCGCCCTGCTATTGCTGCTATTTCTACTGCTGCTGCTGCTGCTAGCTGGCCTCCATTTCCCTTGTCGTTTAGCGGCATTAACATTTTAGCCCGTCTATGCATGCCCAAAGGACACATACATATACATCACGCAAAGCTCCCAAACCATTTGATAGCCGGGACGAGAGCTGCCCCATAAATTGCAGCATTTTGTCTGGGTATTTTAGTAAAATTAAGGATTAAAAGCCTCAAGTGCACAAATTCTCAATTTCTAAAATCGCATCTTGGCTTCAATGCATGAGTAGACTTTGCTTAAAGCTATGATAACATGCTTTATTTACTTTTATAATAATTAGGCTAGGCTAAGATAAACAACATCCAAACTAGCCTGGAATTTCATCCAAACACTTTATTGTGGATCACTTCGACATTTGATCCTTCGAAAATTAAACTATTTTAAATTCAAAACAACTATTACGAAAATAATTTTTTGATTCAACATTTCATGAAATGATTGGCTTAATTGTTCTAGGCATTTATGAACAAAGATTGCATGACACACTACCATGTTTCCGTTGACGAATGGCGCGTTGTGCTCCGAACGACGTTTTGAAATAAAATAAAGCGCGGATAGTGCGAAATGGCTACTAAAAAATGAAGGCTGCGATAAGGTAGCTTAGTATCAGCTTGGGTCAGCCCTGAAGATAAGACAGATGGAAAGCAAAACAGTCTGTGGCGCAGATGAATATGTTGCTGGTACACTGAACTACAAACTCTGAGCTCACATTTACACTTTTATAGTCAGCCGATAAATAATTATTACGTTAGCTTCTATTATGTTCTTGAAAAATAAAATAAAATCTTTGAAACACATTTTTACCACAAAAGCTGGTATTCTGCGAAATGTGTGAAACACGTCTCAAATGATCTATCATATTTATCCTTGGAAATAAATTTGAGCACGAAATGTCCCCAACAAGTCTTCGACCGCCATTTCTAGCAAGGAAAGACGAGTTTCCCAAATTGTCTACACATGCGATTGGATTTTCGTGAAACGGCTTGGGCTTTGTGTTGATCCCCAATCAGTCAGTCAGGACAAACAGTTTTATGTATGGAGATTTTTAATAAATTGTTGCTCAGCACATTTTTTACAATAATTATGAGAATCTTCTTTTTAAAATTCGACATTAAATTAAAAGCAGCAGATTAATAAGCAGCCCTCGCAGTGAGCCAGCAGCAGTTTGCTTAGTCTGTGTGTATCTTTTGCTGCCTGCAACCGCACACATTTGTAAATGTGTGTGTTACACACACAAACACACAGGTGCACACAGACACTGATGAGAGCAGGTGTTTGTTTAGTGTTTGTTAGATTGCTGCTTGGGCGGCTGCTCGCAGTGCACCTTGACACAGACAAAGGTCACCTAATGTGTTGCATTCTCATGCACACAAAAGGGCAAGTGGTGCTGCCACACACACAGACACACACCAACACATACACACACAGAGAGAGAAGCACTCTGTGTTTATTAAATGATTATACTTATGCAAAGTTCTGTACACTTGGTTCATTGTTGTAGGCATACATAGACAACGGTTACATGGCGCTCCAAACGAGACGGGCATCTCTTCCCAGCCCTCTTGGGCGCAATTCTCATGCCAATGGCAGGCATCAGCAATTCCAGCAGGCAAAGCAGCAGCAGAAGCAGAACTTGAACTGCTCCGATAAACATTTGAAGTGAAGGGTATAAATAAAAAGAGGTTGCAATAAGGGAGCTATTAGCTGGGGTTAGTCCAGGAACTACTGTTGAAAATTACATCAAGATCGGTAAAGAAACACAAAAGTTAATTAAGAAAATGTGTTTTGGTTGCCCGTGGAGCGTTATGTGTTGAAAATTTCCACCAGTTCCCATCTTGACCTGCTCTTCTATTTAAAACTATGTTTTAACAGCATCAAGAACCAAGTATTGAAATCAACGTTTCCGCCCATATTACTCTTGCAGTGACAATCTTGACATTACTCTGTGTATATTAAATGATAACACTTATGCAAAGGTCTGCACACCTGGCTTTATTGTTCTGCTCATATATAGATAAAGATAACATGACACACTGCCATGTTTCAGCTGCGGAATAGTGGGGTTCTCAGCTCCGAGCGAGACTCCGGCTCATAGTACACACGACGTCCATTGCGATCCACCGACGGACGCAATCGACCGCCACTAGCAGGCATCAGCAATTGCAGCAGACAAAGCAGCAGCAGCAGCAGAGCTTGTTGTGTTCCGATCAACATTTTAAAATGAATTAAAGCACGGATTGTGCGAGGCTGCAATAAGGGAGCTATCAGCTGGGGTCAGTCCAGGAGATAGACAGATGGAAAGCGGCACAATCTGTGGCGCAGTTAAATATGTTGCTGATACACTGCCTTATAAACTCTGAGCTGCAATAGCTAATAATTTACACGTATATAGTCAGTAGAGAGAGAGAGAGAGAGAGCGAGAGCGGCAGCTTGGAAGTTATTGGCGAGTCTTATTAGCTGTCATTTTTCACATTAATTATTGTTCTGCTGTACTGCACTACAAACTTACAACTTATTACATTCGCTTTCAGAGAAATTGATTATGTATTAATAATTGCAACTTAACTGCTGCTTTGCTCAGACAATTTTGCTGTTGCACTTTGCTACAACCTTAGAATACAACCGATTTTCTTTGTTATATTCTATCTCAATCAATTAAAACAATTGCATTGAAGAGCGCTGCAGTTTGAGAGCTCAGCTGAAGTTTTCAAATTAGCTGCCTTTTCGCTTTGAACAAGTAGCTGGTACACTGCACTACAAACTTTTAGAACACTCGCTGTGATTCAATTAAAAAATCGTCTTTAAGCTATAGTGAGAGCGTAATTCTTCTTTATGGCTAAATCATATTAGGCGCACTTCAAATTAATTTAGCCATTTTATTTTTAGCTACTTTTGGCCACGTTATGCTGGTGACAGAGGCTGTTGGCCAAATCAAATAAATTTTTTATTTTCTATCTGTTGCCAGTTGTTGGTTGTTGTTTTTGATTTTCTTTCCCTCGTGGTTTTTGCTTTTGCAATTCAACTGACTGTCTGTCTCACTCCCGACATTTCAGTTTACGTGTTAAGTGCTTGGCAAGCACGATTAAGGCGCTTTATCACCCGCAACAACGGCAGCAACACGAACGACAGCAGCGGCCACTGAAACAAAATCAACAGCAACAGCTGCGACGCCAGCAACATCAGCAGCAGCAGCAACAAAGGCGCTTACGGCGAGCCTTGTCGCAGCAACAACAGAAGCAGCAGCAGCAGCAGAAGCAGCAACAGCAACTGTTTTAAGCACTCGCACATACATTGACACGCCCACCGGCAAAAGTGGGCGTTAAGTAACAAGCAGCAACAACAAAAATAACAACAACAGCAACCCGTGTACAATATGCTGAGCACAATGACAACGCCAGCCACAATGCTCGAGTTTGGGGCAATTGGTGATGTTCCAAGCATTTTGGAAATAGAACTGCCAGCAATATTGTTCAATGAGAGCCTCTTCATTGAACTGAATGGCAGCCTGACCCAGCTGGATGGCAGCAACATTAACCAAAACAACTGGAACATTATCAACAGCAGCAATATCAGCAGCACCAGCAGCAGCAACATCACCAGCAACAGCAGCAACATCAGCATCAGCAGTAGCAGCAGCAACAACAGCAGCAGCAGTGTCAGCAACAGCAGCAATGCTGGCGTTAACATAACCCAACTGGAGGAGGCGCAACGTGCCGCCAATGAGCGTGCCGCAGCCGAGTTCTGGCTGCTGGTCAAAATGATTGCTATGACCGTTGTGCTGGGCCTAATGATACTCGTCACCATTATAGGCAAGTAACTGAAAACTCTATCAAAATACCATTTAAGTCTTAAAGCAGCTGCTGCTGTCATTTGGGTGGGCGGGCATGCTGCCAGATTTTGCTGGCCGTTAAATTATTCTCGCAATTTATGCCGCCGGGGAATTTGGTGCAAAAGTTTCCATATCGCCTCCGATGTGAACTGTAAATGAAGTGAAATTTATGATGCAGAAGATTTTTATTGCGCTGCTTGAAAATTTTATTGATTTTCGGCTTACGAAGATGATTTGCTGCCTGCTGCCAGCTGCCAGCAGCTGAAGCTGAACCTGAAGTTGGGACTGGGGCTGGAGACCTGGTTTGGGGCAACTAGGCAGCGAGCGTGGCAACTTTTGTTTGGAGCGCGTTAAAAAGCTTTGCGTTAAACGTCGCACTTAGGCCAGGCCAGAGTTGCGCGTGAAGCGAAAGAACCGCCTGGGAGTCCTTGCCAGCAAGGACAAACAATGTTACAAAATGTTTGCCGTTCTTTATATACTGATATATATATATATATTTTATGTACACATTTGTTGTTTTTGTTTTTAAATTTTTTTTTTCTGTTGGCATTGACACGTGAAAAGCTATTAAAAGCGCGCCAAGGCGTCAAATGGAAACTGCGCAAACACACACAAGTGCAAAAGCCAACACATACGCACACGTGTGGCACACGCGGCGTATGCGCAACATCTTGACTGAGGCAAGGGTAACAGCATATGCAAATGCATTTCTGGCACGAGCCAAGCGACGACAAAACGTTTTGATAAACTGCCGACAAGCAGACAGCAGACAACTAGAAAGCCCAGACAGACAATCGGCTGGCAGCTGGGAGAGCTGGGGCAACACACTTTTAGACGCCGCCGTGGCAATTACAATTTGCCAAGCTGCATCATTTGCATCACACAGAGATTGACAGCACACTGCCAGCAGTTCTTCGCCCCCTTTCTACATCTGCACCAGGTTGGGGCATTCATGAGCTATCACATGCACGATTGCCTGCAATTAGAGGCGAGGCGACTCTGGACAGCTCTTTGGCAGCAGAGAGTCTTGAGTCTGATTGATTTCAGCATAGTCAAACAGTTCGTCCAATGCCAGTGACTACTTTAGATGACATTTTGAGAATGTTGTTCAAACAACTGCAGCTGCAATCAAAGTTACAAATTAATTGAAATTCTTAAGTCAATTATTTAATCCTTAGAGAAAGTCTCAACATTTGATTCATTTAAATGAATCTGATTCGATAGGAACTGCAACTGCATTTAGTTGAGCCCTGCACAAAATTAACTGCTTGGCAAATATAACAGGCAGGTTGTCTGGATTAAGAAGAAATTAATTAAATGAAACCTGAAACGAATAAATGTTCCCACATGATGAGCGATTTGTAGCTGATTTTCCCAGATGCAACCATATGAAAGTAATTTTATGATTATGTCATATTATATAATGCCATGCTATATATTTTTTCACATTAATATATGTTTGTTCCATATTTTTCTCTCACTTTCTTGGGTATCAGGCAATGTATTTGTGATTGCTGCCATTATACTGGAACGCAACTTGCAAAATGTAGCTAATTATTTGGTCGCATCTCTGGCAGTTGCTGATTTATTTGTTGCCTGTCTCGTCATGCCGCTTGGCGCCGTCTACGAGGTAAGTCGTTGTTGTTATTGTTATTGTTATTGTTGTTGTTATTGTAGATTGTAGTTGAAGTCGTTGTTGTTGCTCTTGTGCAACTGCTTTGTTGTCGCCAGCAGTTGTTGCAACTGCTACGGCACAAACTTCATTACCCTAATGGAAACTTCGGATGAAAAGCGTGCAAATGAAATTACGAGCAAAGAGTTGACTTTGCCCTGCAGAGAGTGTGTGAGTGGTAAAGACTCTGTCCGTGTATGTGTGTGTGTGCGTGCTTATGCGTAATGAGCCATTGCGCGTTGTTAATTGTCAAATTGCGTCATCTTGGCAAGCAGTGAGGCAATGACATAATTTAATTGCATTTACTCCCGCCGGCAAACACTGAAATTCTATGTCCTTGCACTCGTCTAACCCAAACAACACAGATAAGCAATGGCTGGATTTTGGGACCGGAACTCTGCGACATTTGGACATCGTGCGATGTGCTCTGCTGCACGGCATCCATACTGCACCTGGTGGCCATAGCAGCGGACAGGTGAGTTGTGTACCGAGCATGGTCAGCATTTCGTTACTCGCTATTTAATCAAGCGTTTGCTTGTTACACAAATTACTTTTTACTCATATATTGTTACTCGCTACATTATCACAATTGTTTACTCGTTACTCGCAACTTATTACTCGTTGCTCAATACTCGCTTCTCGATACTCTCGTCGCGTTATTCATTTCTGCTCGCTCGCTACATATTACTTTAGTTTATTAGACACTAGCAACTTTATCACACTCGCTACTCATCACCCGCTTAATCACAGTTTTTGCACGTTACTCGCTTTCGTTAACGGCTAATTTATGGTTCACCTTTCCCATCTTGCGGTTGCGCAGATACTGGACCGTTACGAACATTGATTACAACAATTTGCGTACGCCCCGGCGTGTCTTCATTATGATATTCTGCGTGTGGTTTGCCGCTTTGATAGTGTCGCTGGCACCGCAGTTTGGCTGGAAGGATCCGGATTACATGAAGCGCATCGAGGAGCAGAATTGCATGGTCTCGCAGGATGTGGCCTATCAGGTAGCAGTCCGCATTAGTCATGTCGCGATGTTTTCGCCATTTAATCCTTGTCTACTGCAGATATTTGCCACATGTTGTACGTTTTATGTGCCGCTGCTGGTCATTTTGTTTTTGTACTGGAAAATCTATTTGATTGCAAGGAAGCGCATTCAGCGTCGCACACAAAAGTCCTTCAATGTGACGCTAACTGAAACCGAGGTGAGCTATTCAAAAGGGGAAATGGGACAGGAAATGGGTTCTGGTCACAATTAATGTGATAAATTTCTGCTAGTTCCGGCTTGACAAATGTTTAATAATATTACGCATACGCAGCGAGCGCCGTCTAATGAAATTTGAGCTTGTCGGCTTGTAGCCATAATGAGCGTGTCATTAACTGAAATGATAATGGCGAATCCTTTGCTAGCCATTAGGGCAGGCCCAAGTGAGCACTTGAAGCAGCCAAAAAGTTCGCAGTCTAGGATTTATGCCATGTTCCGTTGGTCTGTGTGTGTGTGTGGGCGTGGCATTTCGCTGAAAGAACGCTAGTTGTATCGTGCAAATGTTGAGCTAAAAGCAAAATGTGCCCTGGGGGAGCAACTAGAAATGCTTAGACAGCTTCTAAATCAAACACGTAAATAGCTCAATGGGAAAATGGAATGGGCAAATGGTATAGAAGTGAGGGGTCGCATCAATTTTCGGCTGTTAACAGGAAAATATAATTAAATTTTCCAGTGCGATTCTACGGCTCGTGACGTGCACAAGGAGCGCGGCAAACGGCGCGTGGCAAAGCGTGAACAGGAACGCGCATTACAAGACACAGAAAATGGCATCGGGCAGCTGCAGCGACGCCCACGTAAACGCATGAAGATTTGCTTTGGACGCAACTCGAACACGGCCAACATTAGAGCTGGCTCTGAGGGCGCAGTGGCCCGCTCGATGGCCGCAATCGCCGTGGACTTTGCCAGTTTGGCGATAACGCGCGAGGAGACGGAGTTCAGCACCAGCAACTACGACAACAAGAGCCATGCGGGCACCGAGCTTACGACCATATCCAGCGATGCGGATGACGTAAGTAGCTGCAGTGCTGCAACTGGGCATCTGGGCGACTGGACGACTGGTCAGCAGCTCAACTATTCACAATATGACGCTAATTGTTTTTATTTGTTTTGTGTGCGCACCTTTTCTTTGCATCTCTTTGTCTTCCACTTCATTGCCCGCTCTCTTTCTTTCCAGTATCGCACGAGCAATGCTAACGAAATCATAACGCTCTCCCAGCAGGTGTCCAGCACCACACAGCAGCATCTAATAGCTTCCCATTTGAATGCCATTACACCGCTGGCGCAGTCCATCGCCATGGGTGGTATTGCAGCCAGCAAGCAGACGGCAGCAACAGCAGCAGCAGCAGGAGGCGGCAATAGTCCCATTGAAGCTGGTGTTGGCAAGGGTGTACTGGCCAGCATTGCCAATCCACACCAGAAGCTGGCCAAGCGACGCCAGCTGTTGGAGGCGAAACGGGAACGGAAGGCAGCGCAAACATTGGCCATCATCACCGGCGCCTTTGTCATCTGTTGGCTACCCTTCTTTGTTATGGCGCTCACAATGAGCCTGTGCAAGGACTGCGAAATTCATCCAGCAGTTGCATCCCTCATTCTCTGGCTGGGCTACTTCAACTCCACGCTCAATCCGGTACGTAAATGGGTTGCAATCGAAAAGACCAACAGATTTGTCCAACTGTCCATGGCAATACGTCATTGATAACGGGGAACACTTCTTTGTCTGAGTGTAACAAATGAGTCTAGTTTGAATAATTCTTATTGGATGATTGATCTGCTATGCATGCAAACGCAACCATGAAGCCAGCTAAAACTTTACATTATTTCTGGCAATTGTTCAGCTCTTTTAAATCACTAATCTAGACGAAACAAAAAAAGGGAGCTCATTTGACGAATTGCGTATTTTCTTTAAGCTAAACTAATTGAAAGATTGATTGGCTGCCTGTGTCAATCGAATATCGCGTAAAAACTATTTCATATTTGCGGCCATTATTCAGCTGCATAAGCTTTGAATTCAAGGGCTGTTAATGGTGCATTCAACATTAGATTTATCAGATGCAATGATTGATCACAGAAAACCTGCTATTTACATAGATCAAAAACTTAAAATATATATTGTAGTTAGACCTGATCGTAATCATACAGAAACTGCTTACTAATGAATTCCCATTAGATGATTGACTTTGCTTAGGCTCTGCACTAACTTTCTATTTACAATCTCTTCTCTTTCTGGAATCTTATCATTACCAACAATAGGTCATCTATACCATCTTCAATCCAGAGTTCCGACGCGCCTTTAAGCGCATTCTATTCGGCCGAAAGAATGCGGCACGGGCGCGCAGTGCGAAAATTTGATTTCAACTGAAAACCAACGAGGACCAGTATCTGTAAGCTCCTAACAAAAGGTGAAAGCGAAAGTTACTAAACTATGGCACATGCATTAAGGCCCCAAACAAATATAGACTCAACAGATTTCAACTCAGACACCAAACGATAAAGTGGTATGTAAATACAAACGATAAGATAAATGTATATGGAAATGGTAATATGGAATATGGAATTGACATTGGGATTGCATTAGATTATAGATTAGTTAGGCATATTTGTAGTTGTAGTTGTAGCGCGTTTAACGATGTTTTAGCAGCGACAATCCTAAGTACATGTACTCTATAAGTAATTCCTAACCTACCTTAACGAGTAACACACACGTGCCCCAAAATAGCAACCGCAAAACCAAGAAACCAACAAGCAAATAAATAAAATACAAACAATTTTTATATGTTATATAGAAGTGTTAGCCGTAAGAACTCTCACACACAAATACACACACAGAATTGATTGTATTCGTATACGTATTGTAGTTAATATATATAAGTATGTATGTGTATGTGTAATTTATAATGTTTTTAAAGTCTTCCCTGTGTCTTAAAGAATTGTGTAAAACTTAAAATATATAGATATATAAGCTTAGCAAGTTTGGAAGATTGGCAATATTTGTTTAGTATGCGTGTGTGTAGAGCAGAGTCTACAACAACCTGCCCATATCTTCCGTTAATGAAAAGGCTGGGTCCAAAACTTTGTACGCTTTCAACTTCTGTGTTAGTTCCATGTGTTGCGCGCCTATAGCATAAGCCCTGAATAACTTTTGTTCGCGCTCAATTAATAAGCTTACAAAATGAAAACAAAAAGAAAACCTATATAATCGGCTTGCCGTAGATTAAATACTTTTGCAGACAGGTTTCAAAAAACAAATCAACATTCCAATAATTTTTTCTGGAGCAGTTATACGACATAGTAATCCGCTGTTGCTCAAGTTTTTGGCGCATAATGAAAACTCATAATTGCATTGTTTGAGCTATTTTCTTATAGCAACTATATGTTATAGTGCTCTGATCCACTCAACTACAAAGGATCTAGGATGAGTTTGATGTGTACAATTGAAATCTAAATTTAGTACTTTCTTACTTCAATATGTTATGCAATGTCACAACTAAATATATGACCTTCTGCAAGGGTATAATCAAGGTAATATTTTAATTAGGCACGTCGCAACATAATTTGTAACGAATTTACACAAACATACACACACAATTTTAATATCTGAGTGTGCAAATACCTGAGCAAAAAAAATTAAAAAAACATAAAGACGCAAAATTCAAAATATATTGTCTGCTGTAATTGCATAATCAAACAATGTGAGAATCTTTGTTATACGACTAACTAGCAAATGCGTTCATGCACCCATTTATGCACATGATGATGATGCATGTGTGAGTAGCACTCACAGTTGGTGAATAACAAAAAGTCAAACTTTTGTTAAATATTCCCCGAACTACGTAAGCGAACTGGCAACTATAGTGGCATATAACCAAAAATACAAAAACCAAAAAAACCGCAAAGTGCTGAAACGGACAACATTTACACACAAGCACACACACACACACCTATCTATATATATGTGTATATATATATATATATATATATATACTATGTATTTGAATTTTTGTTCATATTGCAAATGAACTTGCAGCTTGGCAACTAACTGTGCAACAACAATTGATATTAGCAGTTGGCTGCAGCTGTGGCAGTTGCAGCAACTAATACGAATACGCTTCGATGTGCATATTAAATGATTGTATACTTTATAAATCATATGCTATATATATATACTCGTACTACTCATATGTTTAGCTAGTAAGTACTAGTTGGTAAGCCTTGCATATGTATGTGTTTATGTGTGTATATTTGTAATTGTCTGCGTGTCATTGCAATTTCTCGATGTGTACTTGATGTCAAAGTTATTAAAATTGTGTTTTATCAAGCTCGAGTGTGTTTTATTTAAATTTTGGACACACACATACACACACACACACATACGCGCACACACACCACAACAGCCGCCATGTTGTTTGGGCAGTTTGATTGTTTGCACTCAACACAAAATTGACAAACTTTTCATACCCCGTCAACCGCACGCACGTTAGCAAATGCCAGCGCATTCAAAGGCCAAAGTTCAAGTGCACATGTCAACTGTGTATGGTTCTCCGTTTCGGATTCGGAGTCCGATTCGTATACGCTGCAAAAGGGGCAACTGTGTGGCAACAGCGCTGCGTGTGTGTCATGGAGATGGATTACGCATTGGCATTATCAACACCGGAACAGGCAAAAGCCGACAAATGGCCCAGAAATTGCTGTTGCTTCCAATGACAAACAACCATCAGCAGGCGGCAGGCACCACGCGCCCTAAAACAACAACAGCTAAAAAAATCGATACATCATGCAATACTCGCATTACACAGGCTGCTCACACTCGTATTCATACTCTATTGAAGTTATTTTGTGATTGTTTTGCTATTCCTAACATTGTCAATGCTGCTGCTGGCAACATTGCTGCAAATGTCGCTACCAAAAGCTGAACTTATCAGGTGCCAGCAGTTGCCACCGACTAACAAAAAACCCACTATTCCTTTTGCAGTTAACAATTGCAGCGTACTCCTTTACAATCCAATAATCGTCTACAAAAGGCTGCCAGGCAAATTTTTAAATATTTTTCAAATTAATCTTTGAAAGTGCTCATCTCGTATTCATGCCCAACATCAGGCTTTCAAAGCGTAGAATATATAGATTTTTCACACTTTAAGCTGTCGAGCGGGAAAGTTTCAACAAGCTTTAGATTCTCGCATTGTACACGTGCCATGGTAAACATGGAACAAGTATTGAATAAAAAGAAAGAGTATTAAATAAAAAGAAACAGATAGAGCGCATTTAAGTGTCACAATCAAGCTAGCCGCTCGACAATCTTGCGTCATGCATAAATATTTGCCAACACTGTTAATTTCCTGCCATCTCAAGGATATGCTTATAATCAATAACTCTGTTCACTTACATACGAGAAACTAGTATATTATATAGCAGCAACATGAGCAGCATCTAAATACGCTATCGAAAGTAATTGTTGCCTCTGCCAAATTGAGTGAAGGTCAACATAAAATCCTTATAAATGGGATAATAATTAAAAAAATATATACCCTGAATACGTAAATAAATAAAACTAGTATCTTAATTAAACAAACATCTTTAGCTGAGCCCAGCAATATGTTCACATCAGGCCAAGCTTAATACCTTCAATCAGACAAATATTAAATTAAAAAAGTGGCCAATAAAATTTATGCATCATAAATTTATTAATTCTTCATAATATATGCTTGCATATATTTATTCTTTTCCTTTTCTTCAACCATATGGCCCCGTTTTGCCCTCAACTATAATAAAAACCATTAAATTCGCAACATTTTTAAATAACTCTCTCAGGCTTTTGGCATATGCATAATTCATATGGCTAACAAAAAAAAAAAAAGCTGTTTGAAAAATCAATCAATAACTGTGCGTAGCACCTGACAATAGTAACTCATGTAGATTTCGGTGAATCCAATAAGCCTCGTCAAAAGCCACAGCCGCAGGGCATAAAAGCCACAAAACCCAATGCTTCAAATATGCAACAGCATATGTGTGTGTAAATTTGTGTGTGTGTGTGTGTGTGTGTGCGTGTTTGTTGCATGTGTAAATATGCGTATGGATTTATTAGCCTACACATTATTAATAAACTTCGCTCTCTCTCTCTCTCTCCCTCTCTCCCCTCTCTTTCTCGGATAATGTCAACAGAATGCGTTTTATTAAAAAATATCTTAGCCTCCCCCGAAAAATAAGCCATAAATCGAATAAATATCGTTTGCGCTTCGAGTGGCCACTCACACAGGCCGCATGGGAAGTGGTTAATATGCCACATGAGTGGCGGCACGCTGTTTGCTTGGGCAACATTTTGAAGCCTGCTTGAATCGTCTAAAAAACTTTGCAAGCAATTCGAAGGGTATTAAAAGTAGTTAAATGGCTGATTATAAACGCTGTGAAGAGAACTGGCAAAAACTTGGCTGCCAAAAACTTGGATGGCTACGTATCTATAAGATACTTTCAGCAGGCATACTTAAAGCTACTTTACTGGCTTGGAACATGTGTGTGTGCAAATAACACTCACTGGCTGCCAGGACTGTAAGTACATAAGTACATAGTGGCATGCCGCTGTGTGAACGTGTGTAGGTGTGTGTGTGTGTGTGTGTGTGTGTGTGTGTGTGTGTGTGTGTGTGTTAAGCAAAGTTGTAATTGAATTGCAGCGAACGTGCGCAAATTGCTTGAAATGATTAAGAGCTTACGGCGCTGTATTAGTTCCAAGGACTAAAACGACTTAGAGCAGGCAATTAAAAGCAACGTTCCACGCGCCAATCGACCAGGCCAAAAGGCAGTTAGTTCTAGAGACACAAAGCCAAATCTTTGATTACATTGATAGCCGCAGCTAAGATAAAGAAAATGAGACAGCAGCTGCGGGCGCCGCACAAAAGTATGCTATAGTTTTCGAGTGGGTGTGGGTGTTTGGCTGTGTATGTATTTTTTTTTTTTTTTTTTTTGTGTGTTAACTGCAGTTGCAGCAGCGCTCGCTGAATGTGCCCCCAAGCAGTCATAATGGCAACACTAACAACAACAACAACAACAACGACAACCGCTGAAACGCGTTTATTAAAGCGCTGCAGGTAAAAAAAACAGCTCGTAAAACGCGCAAAACATAAAAGTAAATTTACGACCACACTGTGTGCTTGGGTGTGGGTGTGTGTGTATGTGTGTGTGTGTTTGAGTGTGGCAACAAACTCATTTTGAAGTTGTTGACACCGCATAGGTAGCCAAGCACTTGTCACTTTTGTACCCAGCACCACAGAAGCTGCACACAAAGCACCACCCGACAAGTTGGACCTGCCCGAAGTCTTTGCAAATTGCGGTCAAGTGCACTTTTCAATGCCTTTGAAACTTGCGCCACATTGCGCTGCTGTAGGGCAACGCTGAATGGCAACCAAATAGGCAGTTGTCTGGCAGCACGCAGGACTTCAGCCCGCCACTTAAGTGCAAGCAAAAGATAGCAATCAAACATAGCAGCCGCACTAATTGCAGCGACAAAATATGCGTTAATTAAGAAACATATTTATATAGTCAGGCTATTAAAATCAGAATACCCTGGAAAGTGTCAGATGCCAAGGTATGCGAATTGGCTGTTACTGAACCATGCTCAATTCTAGGTTTTGCAAATAAACTGGTACTGGGAAAGAGCCCAATCCCAAGGTATGCGAATGGACTGATAGTGAAAAGCGTGCAATTTCGGGGTATTCGAATATACTGGGCAAGCGCTCAATTCTAGGAAATTCTTGTAACCTGACCAACAGGCTTGCAACAAAATATTTAACAATTTATAGCTCGGGCATTTTTGGTAAAAGTTCTCAACAATTTTTGTGTAGTATTGTATGCTGCCCGAATGTGTAAGCTGTTAGTGTTGTTAAAGTAGAACTTATCAAATTCTATGCGATTTAAATAGTATCTTACATATACAACTCTTAATTTATAGCATTTTGAAATTTGTTTAAAGTACTAAAATAATGCTGTTATGTATTCATTTGCATAATTTGTGCCGCTCTTAACACCTAAAAGTCATTTGTCACAGTTTTAGTAAATGCAAATGAATATGACTCTGATATATGCAAGAAATTGCAATTGTTTTTACATAGTAGAGTAGATTGTACATGAACTTACCTGTTTTAGTTTTAATCAAGTAGCAAGCCCCATTAAATTATTCATTCAAGAGATTTTAGCTGTAGCTATAATAATAATAATATGAACTAAATAGAGAATGTCCCGTATAACATGTCGTTACCTGCTTAGAGTCTAATCAAATACCAGAATGCGTCAAATCTTATCATCCACCTTTCAGTTTGCACGTGCGTGTTTTTTAAGTTCGTGTGTCCATGTGCAGCGCTGCTTCTGCTTCTCGTGGCACGCTGACAACTTGAGTAAAATGGCAAAAAGGACACGTACGTAATGAACACCAACACGTACGCAGCAGCGACAACGTTTGGGGCTTAAAGTTTCAGCTGCCCAACTTGCACATGCTCCAATCCCTTCGGCTAAGCAGCACCAACAAAAGCACGGAGAAAAAACTAAAACTTGCTGCAAACTTTGCAGCATCAATTGTTTCTTCCTATCTTTTTTGTGTTGCTTGCTACAGTGGTCGCTCGGAAATAGTCCTTTTCCTGGAATTGAAATCCGTTAATAATTTTCTGTACACAATATTTAGTTTGGCCTGCTACTAACATAGATAAATTATAGCAATTTTCGTGCTGTGCTGTGCGTTTATCACAAATCCGTCAATCAGTCAGTCTGTACAGCTTTACAGCACGCAATCCTAAATGTTTACTTTAAAATAATGAATCTAATACAAACAGAACTTTTAACAAACCTCTTTGAAACGGGAATGTTGCATTTATCGAGCGACAACTGTAGCTGTTGCCAGTCAGGCAGCTCCTGCTGCTGCTCGAAGGGCGTTGGGGCACGTTGGTGTTGTCGAAGTGGGTTGTGCAGCCGGCGTGACGCACAGCGGAAGTTGCTGTCGACTGTTGCATTTTTGGATCTGGGCAGCAAGTTTTTGCGACTTGCTGTTGTTGTTGTTGCTGATGTTTTTGTTGCTGCTACAAGTGCAGTTTGCTTAATTTTTATGCAACATGCATATGTATGTGTGTGCGTGTGTGTGTGTGTGTGTGCGCTTGTTGGTTTTACATATTTACTTGGCAAACACTTGCGTAAACGCGGCATTTGCTATCGCTCGCTGGCAGCTAGGCAACTACCGTGCCTCCCGTCCGCCCCCCTTCCCCCCTCTCACCTTACGCACAAGTTTGGCGCACTTGGCCCAAAAGTTTTTCGCCTAGCTGCGGCCTTGGCTAAGTTCAGCTAC